CCCAGATCCCCCAAGATTTGGGGACTCCCCAAAATCACTCGGACCCCCGAGAACCCCCAGTGTCCCCAGATCCCCCCCGAGGCTTTGGGGACCCCCAAAATCGCTCGGACCCCGAGACCCCCAGATCCCCCAAGGCTTAGGGGACCCCCAAAATCACTCAGGACCCCCGAGACCCCCTAGATCCCCCGAAATTTGGGGACCCCCAAAATCCTCACACCCTCGGGTGTCTCCCAGATCCCCCAAGGTTTGGGGATCCCCCAAATTCATTCACACCCCAGAGACCCCCAGACCCCCAAGGTTTGGGATCCCCCAAATTCCTTCACACCCCCGAGACCCCACAGATCCCCCAAGGCTTTGGGGACCCCCAAATCACTCACACCCCCAGACTCCCCGGTGCCCCCAGATCCCCCAGGCTTTGGGGACCCCCAAAATCACTCGGACCCCGAGACACCCCAGATCCCCAAGATTTGGGGACCCCCAAATCCACTACATCCCCAGACTCCCGGTATCCCCCAGATCCACCCCCCGAGGCTTTAGGGACCCCCAAAATCACTCGGACTCCCAGAGACCCCCAAGATTCCCCCAAGATTTGGAGACCCCTCAAAATCACTCAGACCCCCAGGGACCCCCAGATCCCCCAAGGTTTGCGGACCCCCAAAATCACTCACACCCCCAGACTCCCCGGTGTCCCCAGATCCACCCGAGGCTTTGGGGACCCCCAAATCCACTCACACCCCCAGACTCCCGGTGTCCCCCAGATCCCCCAAGATTTGGGGACCCCAAAATCACTCAGGACCCCCGAGACCCCGAGATCCACCCCAAAATTTGGGGACCCCAAAATCACTCACACCCCCAGACTCCCGGTGTCCCCCAGATCCCCCAAGGCTTGGGGACCCCCAAAATCACTCGGACCCCCAGATCCCCCAAGGTTTGGGGATCCCCAAATTCATTCACACCCCGAGACCCACCCAGATCCCCCAAGATTTGGGGACCCCAAAATCACTCCAAACCCCCCTCGGGGACCCGTCCCAAGCCACGCCCACAGCCTGATGACCACGCCCCATCTTTAAACCACGCCCACTTTCGACCACGCCCCCTTTTGCACCGCCCATGGGGTGTTTATTCCATCAGACCACGCCCCCGTCATTTGACCACGCCCCCAGGGTCATTGACCACGCCCATTTACCGGGAGCCGTTTGGCCACGCCCCTCATCTGACCCCGCCCGTTTGGCCCGTTGGCCCCGCCCACGGAGGGGCGTGTCCGGCGCGCGCGCGATTTGAAAGGCGCGCGCGGGAAGGGCCGCGATCGATCGGGATCGGGATCGGGATCGGGATCGGGATCGGGATCGGGATCGGGATCGGGATCGGGATCGGGATCGACAGAGGGAAACGGGACCCAAAAACCCCCCGGATACCCCCGAGTGAGACCCCCGGGCGCGGGTGGGACACGGGGGGCTCTGCACCCCCACCTGGCCAGGAATCCCCCCATAAATTCCCTAATCTGGTACCCCCTACCCCGGGAACAGGGGCTGGGACCCCCCCCCAGGATCCCCAAACCCGTGACCCCCGCGCACGGGTGGGGCACGAGGGGCTCTGCACCCCCACCGGACCCGGAATCCCCTAAATCCCTAATCTAGGACCCCTACCCCGGGAACAGGGGCTGGGACCCCCCCGAGGATCCCCAAACCCGAGACCCCCGGGCACGGGTGGGGCACGGGGGGCTCTACCTGCCCCCACCGGACCCGGAATCCCCCCCCTAAATCCCCAAATCTGGGAAAACCCCCCAGGGGCTGGGACCCCCAGGATCCCCAAACCCGGGACCCCCGGGCGCGGGTGGGACACGGGGGGCTCTGCCTGCCCCCACCGGACCAGAATCCCCTAAATCCCTAATCTGGGACCCCCACCCCGGGAAGAGGGCTGGGACCCCAGGATCCCCAAACCCAGGACCCCAGGCATGGAGTGGGACACAGAGGGCTCTGCATTCCCACTGGAATCCCTTCCTTAAATCCCCAAATCTGGGACTCCACCTCCCCAGGATCCCCAAACCCGAGACCCCCGGGCGCGGGTGGGACACGGGGGGCTCTGCCTGCCCCCAGCCTCCGGGTTTGCCCCCACCCCAAATCCCCCAACCCGGGACCCCCCCAACCCCCTCTGTCCTCCAGTCTGGGACCCCTCCCAAACTGGGACCCCCCTCCTGCAATTCCCCAACCTGGGACCCCCTAACCAGGGACTAATCCCTGCTCTGGGATTGCCCCCAAACTAGGACACCCCCATCCTCCAATCCTGGACATCTCAGTCTGGGACCACCCCCAATCCCCCAGTTTGGGACCCCCTCCCCCAAATTGGGCCCCCAGAGTGTCCCCTCTGTCCCTGGCCATCCCCCTGTCCCGCAGGATCAGGATCCCATGGACACCTCCCAGTCTTCAGCCGGCTCATCCCGCAGGGACAGGCCAGGTGAGACCCCCAAACATTCCCAGAGGGGCCGCCGGGGACCCCCAAATTCCTCCCGGGGAGGCAAAGGCCGTGATTCCAAAGGTGGAAAATCATGGAATGCTTTGTGTGGCAGGGACACCTCCTCCCTCTATCCCGGCTTGGAATTCCAGGGGTGGGGAATGCCCGGTTTCCCTGCGCTCTGGGATGTCCCTGTGGCCATTTGGGATCAGTTTTACCCCCTCCCCATGTCCCATCCCAGCTCCCTGTGCATCCCAGGATTCCTCGCTCCGGGATAAGGGCCGGAAGCTTCTGGTCTGCTTTGCCTATGGATGAGGGGGTGGAATTCTGGGGGGAATTCCTGGGGGGGAAAAGGGGGGTTGGAAGGAGCCGCCGCGAAAAATCCCGACTTTCTCCTGGAGGTTGTTTGTGCCAGCATTCCCGGTGGGAATCACGGAATGCTTGGGGTTGGGAAAGGGCTTGGAGTCCAAAACCATTCCCAAGCCACACTCCCACCCCCAGGGTGCCACATCCACAGGGATATGAAATCCCTCCTGGAATGGCAGCTCCCCCCCCCCCCTCCCCCCACCCCGGGACGGCCCTTTCCGTGCGGGAATTGTTCCCGATTTCCCCCTGGCACGGCTGGAGCCCGTTCCCTGCTTTCCTACCCCTCATTCCCCCGGGGGAGCAGAGCCTGCCTGGGCCCGTTCCCGGCTGGAGGAGCTCCGGGATTTCCCTGGGATCCCTTGGATTCTCTTTTCCCCGGCAGGGGCGGGGCCCGTGTCCATCGCCATCCCCAACTCCCCCTTCATGCAGAAGTTGGGATGCGGCACCGGGGTCAGTGTGTACCTGATGAAAAGGTGTGTGTGGAAAGGGGGACAGGGAATGGGAATTGGGCAGCTTTTATTCCCAAAAAAAATCACCTGGGGGGTGGGGAACGGGCTTTGTGCCGGATTCACTTCCCGGGGATCCGGAGCCTGGGGAGGGGGGGAGGTTTTTGTGCCGGGGTTCTCCAGGCTGGGAAGGAGCCCTTGGCTTTGGGATAATCCCCCCCCCACCCCTCATCAGCCTTTCCCTGGGATTCAGGGCTCTGGAGAGCATTCCTGGCTTCCCTCCCGGAGCTTCAAATGGGAATCCATCCGAATTCTCTCTCCCTGGGAATTCCAGGGAGGAGCAGAGCGTTCCTACCCCCGTCTTGGGAGGATTCCAGTCCTTCTAGGGGCTTCTCCTTAGAAATTCCAGGGAATAAGGGCAGGTGTTCCCCAGCACAGCCCCCCCATCCCTCACCAGGGCCCCATCCCAGCGCTGATCCCGAGGGAGCGGCTCCGACAGGATGGGATTTTCCAGGTCTCCCAGGGGATTGTCCCGCTCGCCCTGGGCCATAAAGAAGATCAGCTCCAAGTGCAACCGGAGCCAGCAGAGCCTCTACCGGGACAGGCTGCGGGAAGAGGCCAAAATCCTGCGGGACCTGCAGCACCCCAACATCGTGGGTGAGCTCCCAGGGATCCAGGGGACAGCGGGAATTCCGGAGCCCTCCCAGCCGGGAATCCCTTCCCCAGTCTCCCACCCCAATCTCCCCTTTCTCCCTGGATCCTTCCCTGCTCCAGCCTGGCCATTCCCAGCTCTCCCAGCCTGGATCCAGAGCCTGACATTGGATCCATGCCCAGCCCAACTCCTCTCTGGGAAGGAGTTCCGGGAACAAGGGGGGGTTCCCTGGGAATCTCGGCACTCAGGGAAGGGTCTCCCTTCCCCTTTCCCGCCTTTGCCATCCCCACATTCCATAAAGATCCCAGGGACAGATGAGAGATTGGGAAGGGATTCCTGGCTGGGCTGGAATTCCCAGGGAAGCTGTGGCTGCCCCTGGATCCCTGGAGTGTCCCAGGCCGGGTTGGATCCCCTGGGACAGCGGGAGGTGCCGGGGTCGGGTCGGGACGAGCTTTGCTGTCCCTTCCCTCCCAGCCCATTCCATGCCCTGTTCCCTCTCCCGTCTCTCCCATCCCCATCCCAGGGTACCGGGCGCTCACGGAGGCTCCCGACGGCAGCCTCTGCCTGGCCATGGAATTCGGGGGGGAAAAGTCCCTCAACGACCTGATCGAGGAGCGGAGGGAGCGGGGCCTGGGCCCCTTCCCGGCCAGAAACATCTTCCAGGTGGCCCTGAGCATGGCCCGGGGGCTGAAGGTACGTGGGGCGTTCCCCGGGCTCCAGGCACCGGGAATATCCACGGGATCGGAGGGCTGGGAAGAGGGTGGGGCACACTCGGGATCCTGGAGTGGGTCGGGTGGGAAGGGAACTCAAGGATCATCCCATTCCATGGGCAGGGACAGCTCCCGCCATCCCAGGGGATCCAACCCGGCCTGGGACACTCCAGGGATCCAGGGGCAGCCACAGCTTCCCTGGGAATTCCAGCCCAGCCGGGAATCCCTTCCCAATCTCCCACCCCAATCTCCCCTTTCCCAGTGGGAAGCCATTCCCTGTGTCCTGCCATTCCAGGCCCTGATCCCAAATCCCTCTCCAGCTCTCCTGGAGCCCCTGCAGGCTCTGGAAGGGGCTCCCAGCTCTCCCTGGATCCTTCCCTGCTCCAGCCTGGCCATTCCCAGCTCTCCCAGCCTCTCTCCCAGCTCTCCTCACTCCTCCCTCTCCCAGTCCCTTTGGATTCGCCCCTTGGGCCCCCTGCAGTGGGAAAATCCCATCCAGGTGGTTTGATTCCCTCTGCCATCCCTGGGTTTTGGTGGGACAGGGGATGGGGGATGAGCCGGAACATCGATGGTCTCCAAGGAGCAGACCTTGGCGTGCCTGGGGACGCTTCCCAGAGCATCCAAACCCTCCCTGAGCTGATTCCCCACCCCTGGAATTATCCCAAAGCCAGCTTGGAGCAAGCTGTGGATGGACCTGGGTGATCCTCAGTGTCCCTTCCCGCTGGAAGCAGGGGCAGATTTCGGAGCCGTTCCCCGGGGGTTTTAAGGCTGATCCTGGGAAATATCCCATGTCTGGAGCTCTGTTATCCTGATCCAACGGCTCTTCCCACTGACCATGGAAATATCCCTGTCTGAGTGCCTGGTACTCTGTTATCCCTGTCTGGGATGCCCTGTCTGAGTGCCTGATCCTGTTATCCCGATCCAAGGGCTCCTCCTGCGTGTCCCACTCCCACTGACCATGGAAAATATCCCTGTCTGAGTGCCTGGAGCTCTGTTATCCCGATCCAACGGCTCCTCCTGCCTGTCCCACTCCCACTGACCATGGGAAATATCCCTGTCTGAGTGCCTGGAGCTCTGTTATCCCAATCCAATGGCTCCTCCTGTCCATCCTGCTCCCACTGACCACGGGAAATATCCCTGAGTGCCTGGTGCTCTGTTATCCCTGTCTGGGATGCCCTGTCTGAGTGCCTGGTGCTCTGTTATCCCAACCCAACGGCTCCTCCTGCCCATCCTGCTCCCACTGACCATGGAAAATATCCCTGTCTGAGTGTCTGGAGCTCTGTTATCCCAATCCAATGGCTCCTCCTGCCTGTCCCCACTCCCTGTGGGAAATACTCCCTGTCTGAGTGCCTGGTGCTCTGTTATCCCGATCCAACAGTTCCTCCTGCCCTGCTCCCTCTGGGAAATATCCCATGTCTGGAGCTCTGTTATCCCGATCCAACGGCTCCTCCTGCCTGTCCCACTCCCACTGACCATGGGAAATATCCCTGTCTGAGTGCCTGATCCTGTTATCCTGATCCAACGGCTCTTCCCACTGACCATGGGAAATACCCCCTGTCTGAGTGTCTGGTGCTCTGTTATCCTGATCCAACGGCTCTTCCCACTGACCATGGAAAATATCCCTGTCTGAGTGCCTGGTGCTCTGTTATCCCGATCCAACTCCTCCTGCCTGTCCCCGCTCCCTGTGGGAAATATCCCATGTCTGGTGCTCTGTTATCCCAATCCAACGGATCTTCCCACTGACCATGGGAATTATCCCCTGTCTGAGTGTCTGGTGCTCTGTTATCCCGATCCAACGGCCCCACTCCCACTGACCATGGGAAATATCCCTGTCTGAGTGCCTGGTGCTCTGTTATCCCGATCCAATGGCTCTTCCCCCTGACCATGGAAAATATCCCTGTCTGAGTGCCTGGTGCTCTGTTATCCCTGTCTGGGAAATATCCCTGCCTGAGTGTCTGGTGCTCTGTTATCCCAATCCAACGGCTCCTCCTGCCCATCCTGCTCCCACTGACCATGGGAATTATCCCTGTCTGAGTGCCTGGTGCTCTGTTATCCCGATCCAACTCCTCCTGCCTGTCCCCGCTCCCTGTGGGAAATATCCCTGTCTGGTGCTCTGTTATCCCAATCCAATGGCTCTTCCTGCCCACCCTGCTCTCACTGACCATGGAAAATATCCCTGTCTGAGTGCCTGGTGCTCTGTTATCCCTGTCTGGGATGCCCTGTCTGAGTGTCTGATCCTGTTATCCCGATCCAACGGCTCCTCCTGCCTGTCCCACTCCCACTGACCATGGGAAATATCCCTGTCTGATCCCGTTATCCCGACCCAACGGCTCCTCCCCAGTACCTGCACTGTGACAAGAAGCTGCTCCACGGGGACATCAAGTCCCCCAATGTGGTGGTCAGGGGGGACTTCGAGGCCGTCAAGATCTGCGACGTGGGGGTGTCCCTGCCCCTGGACGAGAACATGACAGGTGAGGCCTTCCCGGGACAGCCCCATCCCGGGAATTCTGGGACAGCCCCATCCTGGGAATCCCGGGACAGCCCCATTCCGGGACAGCCCCATCCCGGGAATCCCGGGACAGCCCCATCCCGGGACAGCCCCATCCCGGGAATCCCGGGACAGCCCCATCCCGGGAATCCCGGGACAGCCCCATCCTGGGAATCCCGGGACAGCCCCATCCCGGGAATTCCAGAGGGAACGGAGTTTGCCGGGAGGGTGGGGAGGGGGAGCTGCGGGCTGGAGGCGGCGGCACAGGAGGAGCGTGGGGGGGAGGGAGAGGCTTTCAAGGGGAATCTGGAAAACCTGAGAACGGAATGTTGGGAAGGGAACGGGCCCGCCCAGCCTTCCCAAAAGGTGGGAACTGGAAAGGCGGCTTCACCCGCGAGGTGGGAAAATCCATCCCCAAGGCTCTGGAATGCAGGGATGGGGAAACCCCCCCAACCCCGGGGGGAGCTGGGGCAGGCCCTTTTCCAGGGAAAGGCGATTCCAGAGGGGTGCTGGTGCCCCGCAGTGAGCGACCCCCGGCTGTGCTACGTGGGCACCGAGCCCTGGAAGCCCAGGGAGGCGCTGGAGGAGGGCGGGATCATCACGGACAGGGCCGACATCTTCGCCTTCGGGCTGACGCTGTGGGAGATGATGACCCTGAGCATCCCCCACCTGGACCTGGGCCCCGGCAGCGGGGATGAAGGTTTGGAGGCTCCACGTTCCCTGTGGGGACAGCCCTTTCCGTGTGGGAATTGTTCCCTCTCCTCCTGTTCCTTGTTTCCCTGGGAATTGGGGACACCCCCCCCCCCTGGATCCCCGCTCCTGGCAGGGAGCTGTGGGGTGGGAAAAGCTCCCTCCTGATCCCTCTTTTTCCCCGGGATGAGCACCCCCCCCTCCAAACCTGCTCCTGCCCCTTCCCTTCCCTGCACATGGAGATGCTCCCAGGGCTGGGGCCAGGCTGGGAGACTCTGGAATGCTCAGCCTGGAGGAGGATCCAGGGAGAGCCCTTGGAGCCCCTTCCAGAGCCTGCAGGGGCTCCAGGAGAGCTGGAGAGGGATTTGGGATCAGGGCCTGGAATGGCAGGACACAGGAATGGCTTCCCACTGGGAAAGGGGAGATTGGGGTGGGAGATTGGGAAGGGATTCCCGGCTGGGAGGGTGGGGAGGGGGCTGGGCTGGAATTCCCAGGGAAGCTGTGGCTGCCCCTGGATCCCTGGAGTGTCCCAGGCTGGGTTGGATCCCCTGGGATAGCGGGAGCTGTCCCTGCCCATGGAACGGGGTGGGATTTAGGGTTCCTTGGTGCCCTGGATCCCATGGATCCCCCGGGACGTTCCTCCCCCCATCATTCCCGCTGTCCCCATTCCAGAGGACTCCCTGGACGAGGACGGGTTCGACGAGGACGCTTTTTACGCCGCGCTGGGGACGCGGCCGGCGCTGAACCTGGAGGAGCTGGGGCCGTCCCACCAGCCCCTCATCGACCTCTTCTCCGTCTGCACCTCCCCCGACCCCAAAAAGCGCCCCTCGGCCGCGCGCATCCTGCAGGTCCTGGAGGGGATGGAGCCCCCGCTCTGAGCGCACACCGGGATACCGGAATTGCCTCTGGAATTGCCTCCGGAAAAGCCTCCCAACCCTCCTCCCTCCTGCATTTGGGGATGAGTTTTCCCTAGTTTTCTGTGGGGGGATATGTTGGAAATAAACGGGTTTTGGGGATCCCCACCGTGTGGGATTGGCGAGGTTTTTTCCAGGGTTGTTTTTTCCAGGGGTTTGGAAGTTGGGGGGGGGGGAGGGTGTTGCGCTGAAGGGACGGGATGTTGTCTGAAAATCGTGGAATGTCCTTGCTGGGATGGACCCAGAAGGATCAGAATCCAAATCCCCCTGGGAGAGCAGCTGGAAAACCCAGGGAAAGGTTTCCTGGCACAACAGGTTGTTGGAAACTCATCCTCCCACAGGGATGATTTTACATCTCATAAAATAGGAATGCTGTCCTAAAATCATGGGATATTGTCCTAAAATCATGGAATATCATTCCTGGAATCCAAATCCCTCTGGGAGAGCAGCTGGAAAACCCTGGGAAAGGTTTCCTGGCACAACAGGTTGTTGGAAAATCCTCTCCCATGGGATGGGTTTACACCTCATAAAATAGGAATACTGTCCTAAAATCACGGGATTTTGTCTGAAAATCGTGAAATGTCCTTGCTGGGATGGGCCCAGAAGGATCAGAATCCAAATCCCCCTGGGAGAGCAGCTGGAAAACCCAGGGAAAAGGTTTCCTGGCACAACAGAAACTCCTCTCCCACGGGATGGTTTTACACCTCATAAAATAGGAATACTGTCCTAAAATCACGGGATATTGTCTGAAAATCATGGAATGTCCTTGCTGGGATGGCCCCAGAAGGATCAGAACCAAATCCCCCTGGGAGAGCAGCTGGAAAACTCCAGGGAAAAGGTTTCCTGGCACAACAGAAATTCATCTCCCACAGGGATGGTTTTACACCTCATAAAATAGGAATACTGTCCTAAAATCATGGAATGTCCTTGCTGGGATGGGCCCAGAAGGATCAGAATCCAAATCCCTGTGGGAGAGCAGCTGGAAAACCCTGGGAAAAGGTTTCCTGGCACAACAGAAACTCCTCTCCCACGGGATGGTTTTACACCTCATAAAATAGGAATACTGTCCTAAAATCACGGGATGTTGTCCGAAAATCATGGAATGTTCTTGCTGGGATGGCCCCAGAAGGATCAGAATCCAAATCCCTCTGGGAGAGCAGCTGGAAAACTCCAGGGAAAAGGTTTCCTGGCACAACAGGTTGTTGGAAAATCCTCTCCCAAGGGATGGTTTTACACCTCATAAAATAGGAATCCTGTCCTAAAATCATGGAATGTCCTTGCTGGGATGGCCCCAGAAGGATCAGAATCCAAATCCCCCTGGGAGAGCAGCTGGAAAACTGCAGGGAAAAGGTTTCCTGGCACAACAGAAACTCCTCTCCCACGGGATGGTTTTGCACCTCATAAAATAGGAATACTGTCCTAAAATCATGGGATGTCCTTGCTGGGATGGTCCCAGAAGGATCAAAGTGCAAATCCCTCTGGGAGAGCAGCTGGAAAACCCTGGGAAAGGTTTCCTGGCACAACAGAAATTCATCTCCCACAGGGATGGTTTTACACCTCATAAAATAAGAATACTGTCCTAAAATCACGGGATTTTGTCCTAAAATCATGGAATGTCCTTGCTGGGATGGTCCCAGAAGGATCAGAATCCAAATCCCCCTGGGAGAGCAGCTGGAAAACCCTGGGAAAAGGTTTCTTGGCACAACAGGTTGTTAGAAAATCATCTCCCAAGGGATGGGTTTTACACCTCATAAAATAGGAATGCTGTCCTAAAATCACGGGATATTGTCCGAAAATCATGGAATGTCCTTGCTGGGATGGACCCAGAAGGATCAGAATCCAAATCCCCCTGGGAGAGCAGCTGGAAAAACCTGGGGAAAGGTTTCCTGGCACAACAGAAACTCATCTCCCAAGGGATGGTTTTACACCTCATAAAATAGGAATACTGTCCTAAAATCATGGAATGTTGTCCTAAAATCATGGGATATCCTTGCTGGGATGGACCCAGAAGGATCAGAATCCAAATCCCTCTGGGAGAGCAGCTGGAAAACTCCAGGGAAAAGGTTTCCTGGCACAACAGGTTGTTGGAAACTCCTCTCCCATGGGATGGGTTTACACCTCATAAAATAAGAATACTGTCCTAAAATCACAGGATGTTGTCCTAAAATCATGGAATATCATTCCTGGAATCCAAATCCCTGTGGGAGAGCAGCTGGAAAACCCCGGGAAGGGGCCCCAGGGAGGCACAGAAAGGAACAACCTCTGTTTTAATTGCAAACTCCACCAAAATTAACTTATTTGCCATAAAATTCCCTTCCGGGACCAAACAAACCCAAACAAACATCTGGGGGGGTATCCCGGGATTCCCAAACAAACCCAAACAAACATCCAGGGGGATCCTGGGATTCCCAAACAAAGCCAGCACATCCAGGGGGATCCCGGGATTCCCAAACAAACCAAACAAACATCCAGGGGGATCCCGGGATTCCCAAACAAACCAAACAAACATCCAGGGGGGATCCCGGGATTCCCAAACAAACCCAGCACATCCAGGGGGATCCCGGGATTCCCAAACAAACCCGGCACATCCAGGGGGATCCCAAACAAAGCCAGCACATCCAGGGGGATCCCGGGATTCCCAACCAAACCCGGCACATCCAGGGGGATCCCGGGATTCCCAAACAAAGCCAGCACATCCAGGGGGGGGATCCCGGGATTCCCAAACAAAGCCAGCACATCCAGGGGGATCCCGGGATTCCCAAACAAAGCTGGTACATCCAGGGGGATCCCAACCAAAGCCAGCACATCCAGGGGGATCCCGGGATTCCCAAACAAACCCAGCACATCCAAGGGGATCCCGGGACTTCCCCAACCCTCCCCCCACTGTACACAAAGTGACGTTGGCTCCCAGGACCGGGAATGCCGGGAACGCTCCCGGGAGCTCAGCAGGAACCGCAGACAGGGATCCAGGGATTTAGGGATCCAGGGATTTAGGGATCCAGGGATTTAGGGATCCAGCTCGAGCCCAGTTTACCCAGCGGGGCCTCCTGGGAGAGGAAGTTGTAGACCAGGAAGTTGGGGGTCCGGCAGTAGCTGCTGGCCAGGAGCTTCCCGTGCGGAGTGGGGTCGGAGAAGGCGATTTCCCGGGAGCTCAGGACGCTCCCGAACGTGAAGGTGCTCCTGGAAGAGAAACACCGGGATGGACCCGCCGGGAACGCTCGGAGAGGAGGGCAGGGCAGAGGGGAAACTGGGAGGGGAGGGAAACGGGGATGGGAGAGGGTAAAACTGGGATGGGAGAGGAGAAACTGGGATGGGGAAGGAGAACTGGGATGGGAGAGGGAAACTGGGATTGGGGAGGGAAACTGGGATGGGGGAGGAGAACTGGGATGGAAGACGGAGAAACTGTGATGGGAGAGGGGAACTGGGATGGGGGAGGGAAAGGGGGATGGGGGAGGGAAACTGGGATGGGAGGGGAAACTGGGATGGGGAGGAGAACTGGGATGGGAGAGGGAAACTGGGATGGGAGGGAAACTGGGATGGGGGAGGAGAACTGGGATGGGAGAGGAGAACTGGGATGGGGGAGGAGAACTGGGATGGGAGGGAAAAACTGGGATGGGGAGGAGAACTGGGATGGGAGAGGGAAACTGGGGTGGGAGAGGAGAACTGGGATGGGGGAGGAAAACTGGGATGGGGGAGGAGAACTGGGATGGGAGAGGAAAACTGGGGTGGGAGAGGAAAACTGGGATGGGGGAGGAAAACTGGGATGGGGGAGGAGAACTGGGATGGGAGAGGAAAACTGGGATGGGAGAGGAAAACTGGGATGGGGGAAGAGAACTGGGATGGGAGAGGGAACGGGAGGGAGGAGAAACTGGGATGGGAGAGGGAAACTGGGATGGGAGAGGGAAACGGGGATGGGGGAGGGAAATGGGGATGGGAGAGGAAAACTGGGATGGGAGAGGGAAACTGGGATGGGAGGGAAGACTGGGATGGGGGAAGAGAACTGGGATGGGAGAGGGAAACTGGGATGGGAGAGGAGAACTGGGATGGGAGAGGAAAACTGGGATGGGAGGGAAAAACTGGGAATTCCCACGGGATGGTCCCACCTGAGCACAGCCCATCCCATATTCCCAAATTCCCGCAGGCTGGTCCCATTCCCACCCGAGCACATCCCATCCCTCCTGCATTCCCGAATTCCTGGGGGCTGCTCCCAGTCCCACCTGAGCACATCCCATCTCGCATTCCCGAATTCCCAGGGGCTGCTCCCAGTCCCACCCGAGCACATCCCGTCCCTCCCACATTCCCGAATTCCCGGGGGCTGCTCCCAGTCCCACCTGAGCACATCCCGTCCCACACCCTGAATTCCCGCAGGATGGTCCCGCCTGTCCCTCCCGCATTCCCGAATTCCCGGGGGCTGCTCCCAGTCCCACCTAAGCACATCCCATCCCACGTTCCCGAATTCCCGGGGGCTGCTCCCAGTCCCACCTGAGCACATCCCATCCCTCCCACATTCCCGGGGGCAGCTCCCAGTCCCACCTGAGCACATCCCATCCCTCCCACATTCCCGAATTCCCGGGGGCAGCTCCCAGTCCCACCCGCATGTCACCAGACCCGTCCCACATTCCCGAATCCAGGCTGCTCCCAGTCCCACCTGAAGTACATCCATCCACGTTCCTGAATTCTCACAGGACGGTCCCAGTCCCACCCGAGCACATCCCGTCCCGCATTCCCGAATTCCCGGGGGCTGCTCCCAGTCCCACCTAAGCACAGCCCATCCCTCCCACATTCCCGAATTCCCGCGCGATGGTCCCACCCGTCCCTCCCGCATTCCCGAATTCCCGGGGGCAGCTCCCAGTCCCACCCGAGCACATCCCATCCCGCATTCCCGGGGGCAGCTCCCAGTCCCACCTGAGCACATCCCGTCCCTCCCGCATTCCCAAATTCCCGCAGGATGGTCCCGCCCGTCCCCCCCGCATTCCCGCATTCCCGGGGGCAGCTCCCAGTCCCACCTGAGCACATCCCATCCCACATTCCCAAATTCCCGGGGGCTGCTCCCAGTCCCACCCGAGCACATCCCATCCCACATTCCCGCATTCCCAAATTCCCGGGGGCAGCTCCCAGTCCCTCCCACATTCCCGCATTCCCGGGGGCTGCTCCCAGTCCCACCTGAGCACATCCCATCCCACATTCCCGCATTCCCGGGGGCTGCTCCCGTCCCTCCCGCATTCCCGCATTCCCGGGGGCAGCTCCCAGTCCCACCTGAGCACGTCGAGCATCCTGGTGGCGATGCCCCCGCGGCGCCGGGCCCCGAGCACCCAGATCCTGCTGACCCCGCAGAGCGCCCGCTCCGCCCGCGCCGAGCAGCGCCAGGCACGGCCCGGCGGTGGGGACGGAGCGCGGGAACACCGGGAACGGCCCGCATCGCACAGCACCCGGAACGCCTGCACGGCACCGGACACTCCCGTCGGCATTCCGCACGGGAACGCACCTGGGAACGTGTCCAACCCGGGAACACGCACATCCAACCGGGAACACACACATCCAACCGGGAACACACACATCCAACCCGGGAACACACACATCCAACCCAGGAACACACACATCCAACCCGGCCTGGACACATCCAACCGGGAACACACACATCCAACCCGGCCTGGACACATCCAACCCGGCCCGGGACACCCCGGGATCCAGGGGCAGCCACAGCTTCCCTGGGAATTCCAGCCCAGCCGGGAATCCCTTCCCAATCTCCCACCCCAATCTCCCCTTTCCCAGTGGGAAGCCATTCCCTGTGTCCTGCCATTCCAGGCCCTGATCCCAAATCCCTCTCCAGCTCTCCTGGAGCCCCTGCAGGCCCTGGAAAGGGCTCCAAGCTCTCCCTGGATCCTTCCCTTCTCCAGGCCCTGGAAGGGGCTCCCAGCTCTCCTGGATCCTTCCCTTCTCCAGGCCCTGGAAGGGGCTCCAAGCTCTCCCTGGATCCTTCCCTGCTCCAGGCTGTGGAAGGGGCTCCCAGCTCTCCCTGGATCCTTCCCTTCTCCAGGCCCTGGAAGGGGCTCCCAGCTCTCCCTGGATCCTTCCCTGCTCCAGGCTGTGGAAGGGGCTCCCAGCATTCCCTGGATCCTTCCCTTCTCCAGGCCCCGAAGGGGCTCCCAGCATTCCCTGGATCCTTCCCTTCTCCAGGCCCTGGAAGGGGCTCCAAGCTCTCCCTGGATCCTTCCCTTCTCCAGGCCCTGGAAGGGGCTCCCAGCTCTCCCTGGATCCTTCCCTTCTCCAGGCCCTGGAAGAGGGCCCCACCCAGGCTAAAATCTCCCGGGGTGTTTTTTTCCTGTCTGCCCTGGATCCTTCCAGCCCCAACATTCCCTCTTTCCCCAGCCCGTCCCCAGCCCGGCCCCAGCGGTGGCGGAGCAGCCCCGGAGGCGGCTCATTAGTTAATTAGCGCCCCCCTAACGAGGACGAGGACGTGCCTGTGTGATGGGCTCGGCCAGCAGGCAGCCCACGATGGTGCCCCCGCTGACGAACAGGTAGGTCAGGTAGGTCCTGCTCTGCTCCGGGCCGCGCACCGACGCCTGCTGGAAGCCCAGCTCGCCGTCCACGATCTCCCGCACCTCCTCCGCCTGCGGGACACGGACAGCCGGGAATCAGCGGCGGGAACGCCGGCACAGCACCGGAATCAATGGTGGGAACGCCGGCAAAGCTCGGGAATCAATGTGGGAATGCTGGTAGAGCCGGGGAGTCGAGGGCAGGAACGCCAGCAAAGCCGGGAATCACCGGCGGGAACAACCGGCACAGCCAGGAATCAAAGGCAGGAATGCCGGCACAGCCTGGGAATAAACGGTGGGAAAGCCAGCAGAGCCCGGGAATCAACAGCGGGAATGCCAGCAGAGCCCAGGAATCAGCGGCAGAAACACCGGCAGAGCCCGGGAATCAATGGTGGGAATGCTGGCAAAGCCCGGGAATAAACAGTGGGAACAGCAGCAGAGCCAGGGAATCAATGCGGGAATGCCAGCAAAGCCTGGGAATAAACAGTGGGAATGCCAGCAGAACCAGGGAATCAATGCGGGAACGCCGGCACAGCCAGGAATCCAGTCAGTGCTGGGACAGAAGGATCAGGGTACTGCTGGGATCAGCTAACAGGGATCAGGCTGAGACTGGGACCAGATCTGTTGGGAACAGCACGGCTGGGATCAGGGCACTGCTGGGATCAGAGCCTGCTGGGATCAGGCACTGCTGGGATCAGACCCTGTTGGGATCAGGCACTGCTGGGATCAGGCACTGCTAGGGATCAGGCACTGCTGGGATCCAGGCCCTGCTGGGATCAGGCACTGCTGGGATCAGGTACTGCTGGGACCGGGCACTGCTGGGACCAGGCACTGCTGGGATCGGGCACTGTTGGGATCAGGCACTGCTGGGATCAGGCACTGCTGGGATCAGGCACTGCTGGGATCAGGCACTGCTGGGATCAGGCACTGCTGGGATCAGGCACTGCTGGGATCGGGCACTGCTGGGATCAGGCCCTGCTGGGATCAGGCACTGTTGGGATCAGGCACTGCTGGGATCGGGCACTGTTGGGATCAGGCACTGCTGGGATCAGGCACTGTTGGGATCAGGCACTGCTGGGATGGGGGGAGGGTGAGGATGTGTCAGGATGAGGGTCCAAACCCCCCAAATTCCCACCCCAGCCCCCCCCTGAGCTCTCCCTGTGCCCTGGCACCACCCCCAGGGAGGGATCTGGGGATCTGAGCCAGCACAGAGCTCCCCTCCCGGAGAGATCCCAAAACAAACACCCCGGTACCTTCTTGACGGCGTATTTGGGGTCAGTCGGAAGGATCAGCACGATCTTCCCATCCCAGAATTCCGCCACGACTCGCTCCTTCTTCCAGCCCTGCCACGGAGAGGGGGAAAAACATCCCAAGGAAACAAGGGAGGAGGGAGGAAGCGATTCAGGGAGGCCTCTGGCTGGAATAAAACCGCTCCAGCTTTCAGGAATTGAGTCAAATCCCAGCCATCCCCCCGGGCTGGAACAACCCAAGCTGCACTGCAGCCTCCCTCTGGATATGAACTGCCTGGCCTGGATGCACCTGGATAGGGGAATCATGGACATTTCAGGCTGGAAAAGCCCTCTGGGGAACGTGGAGCCCAACAATTCTCCCGTCACTTCCAGGGCCATCCCTGTCCCCAGGTGCCACATCCACAGGGATTTCGGATCCCCAAGACTACACCCCTTGTGCCAGGGCTGGAGAACCCTTTCCATGAAGGAATTTTTCCCAGCTTTTTTTTTTTTTTTCCCCCCACCAGGCACTCCATTCCCCATCTTGGAGCGTCCCAGGGGGGCTGATCCGAGCGAAGGATCCTGCCCTGGCTGATCCTGCCAGGGGTCCAGCCTGCCCAGATCCCTCTGCAGGTACCCCTGCCCTGCAGCAGATCCCAAATATCCCAGCCCATCCTGGTCCCAGGAGTGCCCTCACCACGTATCTGAGAGCCTCCAGGAACCTCTGGTGGTGCTGCAGGTGCTGGGCCTCGTCCTCCGGGCTGGCGGCCGAGTAGATCATCCCGCAGGATTTGCACATGATGGCCCCAAAGTGCTTCTGACCCGCGTCCTGGGGGGAACAGAGAGCCAGGGAGCGTCCCAGGGGGCACAGAGAGCCAGGAGAGCGTCCCAGGGGGCACAGAGAGCCAGGACAGCATCCCAGGGGAAAACAGAGAGCCAGGGCAGCATCCCAGGGGAAAACAGAGAGCCAGGACAGCATCCCAGAGCCCCTCAGAGAGCCAGGGCAGCATCCCAGGGGAAAACAGAGAGCCAGGGCAGCATCCCAGGGGAAAACAGAGAGCCAGAGCAGCATCCCAGAGCCCCTCAGAGAGCCAGGGCAGCATCCCAGGGGAAAACAGGGAGCCAGGACAGCATCCCAGAGCCCCTCAGAGAGCCAGGGCAGCATCCCAGGGGAAAACAGAGAGCCAGGGCAGCATCCCAGAGCCCTCAGAGAGCCAGGGCTGCATCCTCAGGGAAAACAGAGAGCCAGGGCAGCATCCCAGGGGAAATCAGAGAGCCAGGGCAGCGTCCCAGGGGGCACAGAGAGCCAGGGCAGCATCCCAGGGGAAAACAGAGAGCCAGGGCAGCATCCCAGGGGAAAACAGAGAGCCAGGAAAGCATCCCAGGGGAAAACAGAGAGCCAGGGCAGCATCCCAGGGGAAAACAGAGAGCCAGGGCAGCATCCCAGAGCCCCTCAGAGAGCCAGGGCAGCATCCCAGAGCCCCTCAGAGAGCCAGGGCAGCGTCCCAGGGGAAAACAGAGAGCCAGGAAAGCATCCCAGGGGGCACAGAGAGCCAGGAAAGCATCCCAGGGGAAAACAGAGAGCCAGGACAGCGTCCCAGGGGAAAACAGAGAGCCAGGGCAGCATCCCAGGGGGGCACAGAGAGCCAGGAAAGCATCCCAGGGGAAAACAGAGAGCCAGGGCAGCATCCCAGGGGAAAACAGAGAGCCAGGGCAGCATCCCAGGGGAAATGAGAGAGCCAGGGCAGCATCCCAGGGGAAAACAGAGAGCCAGGGCAGCATCCCAGAGCCCCTCAGAGAGCCAGGGCAGCATCCCAGAGCCCCTCAGAGAGCCAGGGCAGCATCCCAGGGGAAAACAGAGAGCCAGGGCAGCATCCCAGAGCCCCTCAGAGAGCCAGGACAGCATCCCAGAGCTCCTCAGAGAGTCAGGGCAGCATCCCAGGGGAAAACAGAGAGCCAGGAAAGCATCCCAGAGCCCCTCAGAGAGCCAGGGCAGCATCCCAGAGCCCCTCAGAGAGCCAGGGCAGTGTCCCAGAGCCCCTCAGGCTCGGGGCTGAGCCTCAGCACCCGCTCCAGGGGGAAGGGTTTGCTCCCAGACGGATTGGGGGACAGGGATTGCCCCCAGGGAACGCACTGAATGGAGGATTGAACGAGACCAACCAAGGAAAAATGGAAAAAGCCTCACAAAAATAAGGGAAGGAAGGAAAAACTGTGGGGTTTTGGCCAGCTCTCTGAAAAATAGGTCATTTTAATCTGGGAATAGAGGGAAGAGAAAGCTGTTTGGGTCCCCTAAACCCCTGGTTTTTACCTCAGGTCCCCTCAGAGCCTTCCTTGAACTCCTCCAAACCCAGCATTTTTACCCCAAATCCCCCAAAACGGATTAAAATCGTGAGTTTTACCCTTAATTTCCCCTCAAACTCCCCCAAAAATAACATTTTTACCCCAAATCCCCTCACAGACTCTCCAAAAACGTGGGCTTTACCCCAAATTCCCCCTCAAACTCCCCAAAAATGCCACTTTTGCTACAAATACCCCACGCACTCCCCAAAACCTCCCTAAAAATGTGACTTTTACCCCAAATCACCACTCAAAGTCCCCCAAAACCTGATTTTTACCTCAAATCCCCTCAGAGCCTTCCTCAAACTGCTCCAAACTCGCCATTTTTACCCCAAATCCCTCCAATCGATTAAAATCAGGACTTTTACCCCAAATTCCCTCACAAACTCCACAAAAACATGGATTTTACCCCAAATTCCCCCTCAAACTCATCAAAGCCCACACTTTTGCCCCAAATCCCCTCAAAGTCCCTCAAAACTCACCAAAATGTGACTTTACCCCAAATTTCCCCTCAAAGTCACCAAAAACCTGGTTTTTATCCCCAAATCCCCTCAGACCATTTCTCAAACTTGTCCAAACTTGCCATTTTTATCCCAAATCCCCCAAAACAGATTAAAAATGGGACTTTTACCCCAAGTTCCCCCTCAAATTCCCCAAAAACATGGATTTTATCCTAAATTCCCCCTCAAACTCATCAAAGTCCACGCCTTTGCCCCAATTCCCCTCACACTTCCCAGAAATTCTCAAAAAATGTGATTTTTTTACTCCAAATCACCCCTCAAAGTCCCCAAAAACCTGTTTTACCTCAAATCCCCTCAGACCCTTCTTCAAACTACTCCAGAGCATTTTTTACCTCAAATCCCCTCACTAACAGCCCAAAAACACCACTTTTACACCAAATTCCCCTCAAGCTCCCCAAAACGTGGTTTTTTACCCTGAATTCCCCCTCAAACTCAAAGCCCGCACTTTTGCCCCAAATCCCCTCAACACAACCCAAAACCTCACTACAAATGTGACTTTTACTCCAAATACCCCCTCAAATTCCCCAAAAACCTGGTTTTTAACCTCAAATAGACTCAGATCCTTCCTCAAACTCCTCCAAACCTGACATTTTAAACCCAAATCCCCCAAAACAGGTTAAAATCGGGACTTTTACCCCAAATTCCCCCTCAAACTACCAAAAACGCCACTTTTACCACAAATCCCCTCCCAAACTCCCCAAAACATGGGGTTTACCCCAAATTTCCCCTCAAACTCACAAAAAAACGCCACTTTTACCCCAAATCTCCCCTCAAAGTCCCCCAAAAACTGGTTTTTACCTTAAATCCCCTCAGGTCCTTCCACAAACTGCTCCAACCCCGCCACTGTTACCCCAAACCCCCTGAAAGGAATTAAAATCAGGACTTTTACCCCAAATTCCCCCTCAAACTCACCAAAAATGCCACTTTCAGCCCCAATTCCCTCAGACTCCCCTAAAACTCACTGAAAATGCGACTTTTACCCCAAATCACCACTCAAAGTCCCCAAAATCCTGGTTTTTACCTCAAATCCCCTCAGAGCCTTCCTCCAACTGCTCCAAACCCGCTGTTTTTACCCCAAATCCCCTCACAAACTCTTCCCAAATCCCCTCAAAACTGCCCCAAAACATGGGTTTTACCCAAAATCGCCCCTCAAACTTCCCAAAAACATCACTTTGACCCGAAATCCCCTCACGAACTCCCCAAAAACGTGGTTTTTACCCCAAATTCCCCCCCAAACCCATCAAAGCTCATGATTTCACCCCAAATCCCCTCAGACTACCCCAAAACTCACCAAAATCGCAACTTTTACCCCAAATCGCCACTCAAAGTCCCCAAAACCCTGTTTTTTACCTCAAATCCCCTCAGGGCCTCCCTCCAACTGCTCCAAACCCGCCATTTTTACCCCAAATCCCCTCACAAACTCCCTAAAAACGTGGGTTTTTACCAAAATGTGTTTCAATGGTAAAAAAACCCCCACTTCTACCATTTTTTTAATCAATTTGGGGTTAAAATTGTGAGAGTTCCTTTTTTCTCCTTTTTCTTTTTCCCATTTTTTGGGTTTAAATCGAGGGGAAAAAAAAAAAAGAAACTCCCTTTCCCTTCATTTTAAGGGGATTAAGTCGAATTTAAAGTGTTTTTTTTTCGGGAGGGACCTTCTCCCAGCTGCCCGTTCCCGATCCCTGCTCCCATTCCCAGCTCCGAGCTCCTTTGGGGATCCCCTCACGGAACATTCCCGGTTTCCCCATCCCAGAATTCCCCGCCCCAGGGCCCGGCAGATCCTCACGATGATCATCTGATCCCGGGAACGCCTGCAGAGCTCCTTGGCCTTCCTGCTTTTCTGGGAGCTGTGAGGGGCTTTTCCGGGTGGGCTGCTCCCGAAAGGAGATGGAATCTCATCCAGCAGCCTGGAAACCACGGAAAACAGAGGGAAAAGAGTTGGAAAAGAGCTCAGCCAGGGCAGGGTGGGGGCTGTGATCCCAGGGAGAGAGCAAAGCTTTCCAGGAGCCGCGGAGGGAGGACCCAGGAAAAGCCATAAAAAGTTTAATTAACTCTGGATTAAAGCACCTTCGCCACCCTAATTCCAAGATCTTGGAAATCCAGCAGCAAATGGAAGGGATGAACGAAGCAAAGTGAGGAGCAGAGGGTGAGATCCATGAACGGAATAGTGGAAGGTTCCCAGCTCGTGGGATGGGATGGGATGAGCTCTGAGGTCCCTTCCCAGCCAAACCATCCCATGATCCCAGGATAAAGGACACTCAGGATCCACTCAGAGGGGTTTTTATGGAACGCAGGGATATAAAGGCAGGAAAGGGGAAGGGAGACCCTTCCCTGAGTGCCGAGATTCCCAGGGAACCCCCCCTTGTTCCCGGAACTCCTTCCCAGAGAGGAGTTGGGCTGGGCATGGATCCAATGTCAGGCTCTGGATCCAGGCTGGGAGAGCTGGGAATGGCCAGGCTGGAGCAGGGAAGGATCCAGGGAGAGCTGGGAGCCCCTTCCAGAGCCTGCAGGGGCTCCAGGAGAGCTGGAGAGGGATTTGGGATCAGGGCCTGGAATGGCAGGACACAGGGAATGGCTTCCCACTGGGAAAGGGGAGATTGGGGGGGGAGATTGGGAAGGGATTCCCGGCTGGGCTGGAATTCCCAGGGAAGCTGTGGCTGCCCCTGGATCCCTGGGGTGTCCCAGGCCGGGTTGGATCCCCTGGGATAGCGGGAGCTGTCCCTGCCCATGGAATGGGATGATCCTTAAAATCCCTCCCCACCCAAAGCACCCCCTGGTTCCACCCAGGCACCCCCAGGGCTGCATTCCCGGGATGAGGAACCCCTGGGATCCAAACATCCCTGCCCTAAGGGATTCATCGCTCCTGGAGAGGCTGGAATGGGATCTCACCTTTTCCTGCTGGCCAGGGGGGCAGAGAAGATGGGATACACCACGGCTTGGGAGGGAGAAGCTGGAAAAAACAAGAGGAATTCTGTGGTTTGGAGTCATTTTCCACTGCGGGAGACACACGGGAATGGAAATTCCAACACTAACGTGACTTCCAAGAGGCCAAACCCACTGGAATGACTCTTTCCCTGGCTGTTAATTAAGAGTTTTAATCAGGAGGTTTCTCCATTTTCCATCATTTCAGCCCAAACAGCCTGAGGGACCTGAGGGTTCCCCATCCCAGAAAAACTGGGAAGCAACAAGTGCCAAGTTACAGCTCAAAACCGCAAGTTTTGGGATAATTCAGGAAAACCTTCGGGAATCCAAAGCGGGTGATTTATTAACTGGGAATATTTTTGCCCTCAGGTGTGGAAAGTTCAGGGTTTGTGCTGTTTTAGGTTTGTTTTAGACTGAATTCCCCCAAAAAAAAGGACTTCTTGGGAATTACAGGAATACAGGGAAGCAGAGGAGCGGCTCCAAAGCTTCCCAAAAAAAAACATTTCCAGGGAGTTGCTTTCTAGGAAGCAGCTAAAAATATCTTGGGAACGCCAGCAGTGGAAAAAGAGTCACGAAAACCCCAGTGAATAACAAAAATCCAACAGCTTCCTGGAATTCCAGGATTTCAGAGGGCCAAGACACTCCTTGGGAAAGGGAAGTGACACCAGGAAAACTTTGGGAATGAGGTGGGAGACACAGGGAAGGGAGGATTTGCTCCAGAGGCAGCAGGGAGCAGAGGGAACGTCCTTCCTCAGGACAAGGAGCCGGGAAGAGATCCCAAAACCGGATGAAGAAATTCCCAAGGATAAAGAAATTCCCAAGGAAGCAAAATTAAAGGGAAAGGGAAAAAAACCCAAACACCTCAGGAATGTTGCTGATTCCTTCAGGGAACACAACAAGAGCAGAAGTGCCAGGAAAAAAGTGGGAGAAGAGGCAAACAGGGGTAAATCCTGCCTTAGAAACTCCAGGAATCCAAAGGGAAAGCAGGGCAAGGAAAAGGGGGGGGATGAGGCACCAGGAAAACCTCCGGGAATGGCGGGAGGAAAAGGGAAGGTTCCAAGGAATTTAACGGGTTTTTAAAGAATGGGTTGGGATAAAAAAAAGGAGGGATAAAATCCCCCCAGAGGGACGGATCCCACGGGTGCTGAGGCTGGAAAAATCAGGGAATGGGGGTGGGCAGGGGTTGGAACTGTGGAGGAATTACATGGAATTTGAGGGGGGAAGCAGAGGGAAAAACTCCCTTCCTGCTGATTGGGGGCTTGTAAGGATGGAGGGAGGGGATTGTTTGGGAACATCCCACCGGGAAAACTAAAGGAAGAAGCCAAATGCCTTAAAAATCTGGATGGGAAAAGGGGAAGCAGGGAGAGCCAGGGAAAGGATCCAGTGGGAAATGAATGGGGAAAATGGAATGACAGGGTTCAGACACAGCCAATTCCCAAACATTCCTGGGAATGGGCAGCTCGGGGACAAAAAGAATTCCCACGTGGATTAAAACTGAAACAAATCCACGAAATTCCCATCATTTGACGCATTTTCCAGCTTTTTAAACACGTCACCATGGAATTCAGGGCCGATCCCGCTGGGAAAAGGAGGTGCAGGCATTCCCAAAGGTTTTCCTGCCTCGTTTTCCTACACAAAAATCAGCATTTTTCCTACACGAAGACCAGCACAAAAAGCCCTGGATTGAAGCAGGAATGATCCAACTCACCCTGCTTGTTCCCTCCGGGGGGAGATTGGTTGGAAAGGACAACACAATCCCGGGATTCCCAGCCTGGGGAAGAGCTGATCCCGCCGGCTCCCTGGGGACGAACACAGGGATTTCAGGGACAAAATAAAAAAACCTGGGATTTGAGTCAGGTTGGATTTGATGCTCCCAAAAGGTCTTTTCCAAGCAATTCCCAAGGGAAGCTGTGGCTGCCCCTGGATCCCTGGAGTGTCCCAGGCCGGGTTGGATCCCCTGGGATAGCGGGAGGTGTCCCTGAACATGGAATGGGATGGTCCCTGAAAATCCCTTCCCACCCAATCCATTCCATGCTAAAGGACACTCAGGATCCACTCAGAGGGGTTTTTATGGAATGTGGGGATGGAAAAGGCGGGAAAGGGGAAGGGAGACCCTTCCCTGAGTGCCGAGATTCCCAGGGAATCCCCCCTTGTTCCCGGAACTCCTTCCCAGAGAGGAGTTGGGCTGGGCATGGATCCAATGTCAGGCTCTGGATCCAGGCTGGGAGAGCTGGGAATGGCCAGGCTGGAGCAGGGAAGGATCCAGGGAGAGCTGGGAGCCCCTTCCAGAGCCTGCAGGGGCTCCAGGAGAGCTGGAGAGGGATTTGGGATCAGGGCCTGGAATGGCAGGACACAGGGAATGGCTTCCCACTGCCAGAGGGCAGGGACAGGTGGGAGATTGGGAAGGGAATCCTTGTCCCATTCCAGGATCAGCAGCTCCAGGCCCAGCTGGGGCCGTTCCAGCAAAACAAGTGTGGGAATCCCAGGGAAGTGCCCGAGAAGCCGGAGCTGGGAGGGCTTGGCCGCCCTGGGAGCGGCTTTTCCGTGGCTGCTCCAGGACTTCCCTGTCTGGGAAAGGCAGGGCTGGGAAAAGCCCAAAGCTTTGGCTGCAGGAGGGGGCCAAGGGGGGTTCCCAAGGGACATCCTCCCTCCTCTCCCTTTGGAGCCCGGGTTTTTTGGGAAAACCCCCCCCCAAAGCTCAGCCCTCACCACGCTCCTTACACAACTGGGGGGGAAAAAAAAAAAAGCTTAAAAATCCCTTTTCCAGCTTTTTTTTTCCCCACAGGAAAACAACCTGACAAACAGGGGGGATGACAGGGGTTGTTTTCCTGGAGAGAAGATCCCGCTGGGAGCTTTCCCTTCCAGCCACAGGCACTGGAATATTCCCTGAGCCAGGGCCAGGCGAGCAATGCCTGCTGTTTATCCCTGGTTTCACCCCCTCCCAAGGGGAGAATCCACGGATATTTGGGATATTTGGGATCATGCTTCCATCCCGGACTCACCCCGTTCTCCGCAGCTCCGGCCTGGGAAGCGCAGGACACGCTCCCGGTTTTCCCTGGAGATGCCTTCCCTGCAGGTCCCGCGTCTCCCACATTCCCAGAGCTCTCCCTGCTCTCCTTCCCTTCCTCCTGGGCTGTGGGAATGCTTCCCAACTGCCCCCTCTCCTCCGGGGCTTCGCTCCCCTCCGCCGGCTCCGCCTTCTCCTGCGGGGCTTTGGGAAGCGCCTGGGGAGCCTTGGAGTCTCCGGGGTTTTTCCTGGAGTGGGATTTCTTCCCGGCGGCGAAAAAAGCCGCTCCCAGCTGGAGCCTCAGGGCCGGCTTCACCTTCATGCTCAGCACCCGGAAGGGAGAGTCCATCTTCTTCTGGATGAGGCAATTCCCGCCTTCCTTCTCCCCCCTCGGCTTTCCCGCCGGGATCTCCGCCTGGCCCTTCCGACTTTTCGGGGCGCTCCGGCCCCCTTTGGGTTTTGGGGCGCGTTTGGCCGCCCTGGGGTTGGGATTCCCGCCCCCATTCCCGGGGTTTGGGGCGCGTTTGGCCGCCCTGGGGTGGGGATTCCCGCCCCCATTCCCGCCGGGATTCTCCCCCCGGCCGGCAGCTGGGACGTTCCCATCCCTGCTCCTCATTCCCAAAACCCGGATCTCCTGCAGCCTCTTCCTCTCCACGGGGTCCAGGTAGCTCTTCCCTCGGCCGTAGAAGGACCCCACGGGCACGGGGGGCCTGGAGGAGCGGGATTTGAGGGGGGATTTCCCCGGGGATCCCCCCCGCGGGGCCGTGGGAACACGGGATTCCCGGAATTCCTGGAGGGGGGGGATGTCCAGCCTCCTGGAAGTCACCGGTTTCACTGGGACACCCTGGTTTTCCTTCCCCTCCTCCCCGGGGCTGGGAGAGAGCCGGAGCTGGGAAGCAGAGCCCCCATTCCCGGATTTCTGGGAGGGGCCCTCGGGAAAGGCTTTGATCCGTTTCTTCACGGGGGTCTTGAAGGCCGAGGGGGAACTGTGGGGGAAAGAAAAAAAAACAGGGAATGAGGGATCCCATCCTGCCTGGAGCTGCTCCAGAGGCTGGGAATGACTGTTATCCCGCTCCCTGGAATGCTGCCGGGGGGGATTGATCAGGGCTATTTGTGATTAACGGTGGGAAATGAGGTGGGATTTGTCCCTGGAAAATCCCTGACCCCTGGGATCCAATCCCAGGGCCTTCTCCTGTTTTATCCTGGTGTTTGGGAATCCCCAGCCCCCAGAATCCCGCTCCAAAAAGCTACTTCAGCGTCCCCAAAAAAATCACAAACAACCTCTGAACCTGCTTCCCAAAAATCACACAGTTTTTCAGGAAGGGCCTGAACAATCCCAGGGTTCCGGATTTCCAATTTCTCCTGGGAATTTTTCCTTCTAGTTTAGGGATCCAACTTCATTCCTGGTCTGATCCCACTGCCCCCAAACCCTCCTGGGGCATTTTTTGAGGGGAATTTCAGGAGAAGGAGGAAAACGTTTGGATGGTGGGAGGTGGGAGAAGGAGGAAAAAGCTCTTTTTGGGATTGAAACTGAGCTTTTGGTCACGGCCAGGGGTTTTAGGGATCATCCCATTCCATGTTCAGGGACAGCTCCCGCTATCCCAGGGGATCCAACCCGGCCTGGGACACTCCAGGGATCCAGGGGCAGCCACAGCTTCCCTGGGAATTCCAGCCCAGCCGGGAATCCCTTCCCAATCTCCCACCCCAATCTCCCCTTTCCCAGTGGGAAGCCATTCCCTGTGTCCTGCCATTCCAGGCCCTGATCCCAAATCCCTCTCCAGCTCCTCCTGGAGCCCCCGCAGGCTCTGGAAGGGGCTCCCAGCTCTCCCTGGATCCTTCCCTGCTCCAGCCTGGCCATTCCCAGCTCTCCCAACCTGGATCCAGAGCCTGACATTGGATCCATCCCCAGCCCAACTCCTCTCTGGGAAGGAGTTCCGGGAACAAGGGGGGGTTCCCTGGGAATCTCGGCACTCAGGGAAGGGTCTCCCTTCCCCTTTCCCGCCTTTTCCATCCCCACATTCCATAATAACCCCTCTGAGTGGATCCAGAGTGTCTTTTATAATAAAACCATGAAATGGGATGGGTTGGAAAGGGGATTAAATCCCATCCCATTCCATGGGCAGGGACACCTTCCCTAGCCCAGGTTGCTCCAAAGGAATCCAACCCGGCCTGGGACACTCCAGGGATCCAGGGGCAGCCACAGCTTCCCTGGGAATTCCAGCCCAGCCGGGAATCCCTTCCCAATCTCCCACCCCGATCTCCCCTTTCCCAGTGGGAAGCCATTCCCTGTGTCCTGCCATTCCAGGCCCTGATCCCAAATCCCTCTCCAGCTCCTCCTGGAGCCCCTGCAGGCTCTGGAAGGTGGAACTGGCTGACCTTTAAAACCCCTTCCCCCCAGGCCATTCCCTGATCCCAGGCTGCTTTTCCCGGGATCAATCCCGGAGGGAAGAGCTCTGCACTCACCCCTGGGGCCCGGGGGAGCCCCGGCTCCGTTTCCGGGGTGTTCCGAGTGCCTGGGCCTCGCTGGGACACCTGGAAAACCCGCAATTCCCACGGTTTGGAGCAGAATTCCACGGGAAAAAACCACCCCAGAGTTAGGAAATGGGGAAGAGAACGGTGAGAGACAGGGAATGGAACACCAGCAGGAAGCAGTCCCTGGAATGACAGAGGTGGGAATATCGTGAGGAGCTGCCAGGCCACGAGGCACCAACACATCCCAAAAAAATCCAGCCCCCTGAACGATTCCCATAATCCAGGAATGCCTTTTCCTGCCTGCCTCTCACGAAGCTCTCTCCAGAATCAGTTCCTGCCAGCCTGCCTTTATCCCTGGTCAGTTTATTCCCACGGGATTCCACCCTCTTCACCCTCCACCTGCTCCCCCCCTGCTTCCCAGGGAGCCAAATCCCAGAAATCCCTTTTATTTATTTAATTTTTTTGGCCTACGTTGACACAACGATTCAAACCAGTGAGGCCCCAAAGCTTTGGGGGTCTCTGAGGGGTCCCCAAACCTTTGGGGGAGTCTGTGTGGGGTCCCAATATTTTTTTGGGGTTGGGGTGTCTCTGTGGGGTCCTCAAGCCCTCAGCAGGTCCCTGGGATGCTCCAAACCTTTGGGGAGGTCTTTGGGGTCCCCAAACCTTTGGGGGGGTCTGTGTGGGGTCCCCAAACCTTTGGGGGGGTCTCTGTGGGGTCCCAATATTTTTTTTGGGGGTGGGGGTGTCTCTGTGGGGTCCTCGAGCCCCCAGCAGGTCCCTGGGATGCCCCAAACTTTTGGGGTCTCTGAGGGGTCCTCAAGCCCTCAGCAGGTCCCTGTGATGCCCCAAAGCTTTGGGGGTCTCTGTGGGGTCCCCAAACCTTTGGAGGGGGTCTCTGTGGGGTCCCCAAACCTTTGGGGGTCTCTGTGGGGTCCCCAAACCTTTGGGGGGGGTCTGTGTAGTGTCCCAATATTTTTTTGGGGTGGGGGTGTATCTGTGAGGTCCTCGAGCCCTCAGCAGGTCCCTGGGATGCCCCAAACTTTTGGGGTCTCTGTGGGGTCCCCAAACCTTTGGGGGGGTCTGTGTGGGGTCCCCAAACCTTTGGGGGGGCCTCTGTGGGGTCCCAATATTTTTTGGGGGGTGGGGGTGTCTCTGTGAGGTCCTCGAGCCCCCAGCAGGTCCCTGTGAGGCCCCAAACCTTGGGGGAGGTCTTTGGGGTCCCCAAAGCTTTGGGGGGTCTCTGTGGGGTCCCAATATTTTTTTGGGGGGTGGGGGTGTCTCTGTGAGGTCCTCGAGCCCTCAGCAGGTCCCTGTGAGGCCCCAAAGCTTTGGGGAGGTCTCTGGGGTCCCCAAACCTTTGGGGGGGTCTGTGTGGGGTCCCCACACCCTTTAGGGGAGTCTCTGTAGGGTCCCCTACACAAGCTGAGGAGTTGTCTCTGTGGGGTCCCCAAAGCCCTTGGGGGGTCCCTAAACCTTTGGGGGGGTCTCTGTGGGGTCCCAATATTTTTTGGGGGGTGGGGGTGTCTCTGTGGGGTCCTCAAGCCCTCAGCAGGTCCCTGGGATGCCCCAAACCTTTGGGGGTCTGTGAGGGGTCCCCAAACCTTTAGGGGGGGGTCTGTGTAGTGTCCCAATATTTTTTGGGGGGGTGGGGGTGTCTCTGTGAGGTCCTCAAGCCCTCAGCAGGTCCCTGGGATGCCCCAAACTTTTGGGGTCTCTGTGAGGTCCTCGAGCCCTCAGCAGGTCCCTGTGAGGCCCCAAACCTTTGGGGAGGTCTTTGGGGTCCCCAAACCTTTGGGGGGGGTCTGTGTGGGGTCTCCACACCCTTTAGGGGAGTCTCTGTAGGGTCCCCCACGCAAAGGGAAGGGAGGGTCTCTGTGGGGTCCCCAGGCCCTTCCCTGGGGGGTCCCCAAAGCCCTTGGGGGTCCCCAAAGCTTTGGGGGTGGTCTCTGTGGGGTCCCCAGGCCCTTCCCTGTGGGGTCCCAAAGCCCCCACCCCACACACCCCGCGCCACTACCTGACCCCGCACCGCTAACCCCCCCGCCTCGTACCCCCGCACGACGATCCCGGGGTCCCTCCCACCGCGCCGAGTCCCCCTCGGGACTCCCCCAGAGCCTCCCCATCCCCTCAGAGCCCCTCAGAGCCCCCCCGTCACCTCCGCGCCGCCTCCGCCATCGCCGCTCTCCCGCCTTCGACCCGCGCGCTTCTCCCGCCCGCCCGCCCTCCCCGCTCCCATTGGCCGAGGGGCACGTCAATCAACAGAAATCCGTCGTTCATTGGTGAACAGGAGAGGCGCGCGGCGCTGCGCCCGCCCCGCCGCGGTTGGCAGCCAATCAGAGAGCGCGGCCGCACTCGAGGACTACAACTCCCAGCGTGCCTTGCGGGGGTGGAGCGGGGCTCGGCCCTGAGCGGCGCGCGGGGGATTATGGGAGTTGTAGGCCGGGCTCTGTGAGGAGCGGGAGATTCCAAGGGAAAATCGGGAATAAAACGGCTTGGGAGCGAATTAAGGGGCGTGTGGGAGGTTAAGCGGGAGGTTATAGGGGTGATAATGAAGGGGCTTTGGTGGTAAGTGGGTTTTCAGGGCGCTGACACGCAGAGCAGGCTCCGTAGATTGGGGATTTTTGGGAATTAAGGAGAATTCCAGTGCCTTGGGAATGGGAAGGTTTGGGTGGGAAGGGATTTTAAGGATCGTCTCGTTTCAGTCCCCACCTTCCACTAGACCAGGGAATCCAAGCTGGCCTTGGACACTTCCAGGGATGGGGCAGCCGAGGGAAAAGGGGATGGAAAATAAAGGGAAAAAGGGGAAAAGGAATGGGAAAAAAAGGAAAGAGAAAGGGGGAAATTGAAAGGAAAGGAAAAAGGGGAAACAGGAAAAAGGACAAGGGAAAGATGGAAAGGAAAAGAAAGAGGGCAAAGGAAAGATGGAAGGGAAAAAAGGAGGAAGGGGGAAAAGGAAAGGAAAGGAAAGGAAAGGAAAGGAAAGGAAAGGAAAGGAAAGGAAAGGAAAGGAAAGGAAAGGAAAGGAAAGGAAAGGAAAGGAAAGGAAAGGAAAGGAAAGGAAAGGAAAGGGAAGGAAAAAGAGGAAAAGCAAAAGAAAAAAGGGGGAAGGAAAAGGGTAAAAGAAAAACGGGAGGGAAGGGAAAAGTGGAAAAAAAGGTGGAAAAAAGGGAAAGAAAGGGGAAATGGGAAAGAAAGGAAAAGGGTAAAGGAAAAGAAAAAGAAAAGGGCAAAGATAAAGGAAAGAGAAGGAAGATGGAAGAAAGAGAAGAGAGAAGGAAAAAAGGGGGAAAGGGAAAAGGGGAGTACCTGGGGGGGGGAAGGAAAAAGGGAAGAAAAAAGGCAAAGGAGGAAAAAAAACCCAAAAAATTGGAAAGGAAAGAGAAGGAAAAGAAAGAAGGGAAAGAAAAACCGGGAAAAGGCACAAAAACAAAATAAATAAATAAATAAATAAATAAACCGGGCCGGGCAAAGGACGGCCCCGCCCCCCGCGCACGCGCCCAGCCAGGCCACGCCCCCCGCCAGGCCACGCCCCCCGGCTGGGCCCCCCTCAGGAACGGCCCCACAAAAACCCGCCCTGACCCTACAAAAACCTGCCTTGACCTTACAAAAACCTACCCTGACCCTACAAAAACCTGCCCTGACCCTACAGAAACCTGCCCCGGGCGCACAGAAACCCGGCCCGGGCGTAGAGAAAGCAGCATGGTGTTCTACTTCACCTCGGGCGGTGAGCGGGGCCGGGTTGGGCGGTTTTTGGGTGGTTTGCGGGGCGGGTCGGGTGGGAAGGGCCGTGGGGTCCGTGCGGTCACACCCAGAGGGGATCCTGAGGCGGTGCCGAGAGTTCCAGGGAGTGGAACCCGGTCCGGGATCCAGGGGAGGCCGCAGCGGCCACGGGAATTCCGGCCCGGGCCCCTCCCCAGCCTCCCGGCCGGGAATCCCTTCCCAATCTCCCACCCCAATCTCCCCTTTCCCAGTGGGAAGCCATTCCCTGTGTCCTGCCATTCCAGGCCCTGATCCCAAATCCCTCTCCAGCTCTCCTGGAGCCCCTGCAGGCTCTGGAAGGAGCTCCCAGCTCTCCCTGGATCCTTCCCTGCTCCAGCCTGGCCATTCCCAGCTCTCCCAGCCTGGATCCAGAGCCTGACATTGGATCCATGCCCAGCCCAACTCCTCTCTGGGAAGGAGTTCCGGGAACAAGGGGGGGTTCCCTGGGAATCTCGGCACTCAGGGAAGGGTCTCCCTTCCCCTTTCCCTGCCTTTGCCATCCCCACATTCCATAAAAACCTCTCTGAATGGATCCTGAGTGTCCTTTAGCCTGGAACGGTTTGGGTGGGGAGGGATTTTCAGGATGATCCCATTCCATGGGCAGGGACAGCTCCCGCTATCCCAGGGGATCCAACCCGGCCTGGGACACTCCAGGGATCCAGGGGCAGCCACAGCTTCCCTGGGAATTCCAGCCCAGCCGGGAATCCCTTCCCAATCTCCCACCCCAATCTCCCCTTTCCCAGTGGGAAGCCATTCCCTGTGTCCTGCCATTCCAGGCCCTGATCCCAAATCCCTCTCCAGCTCTCCTGGAGCCCCTGCAGGCTCTGGAAGGAGCTCCAAGGTCTTTTCCCAGCCCGGATCCAGCCCTTGGAGCACCCAGAAATCCAAGGATTGTTCTGTCACCCCTTTGGTTTCCCTCCCCTCCCTCTCCCACCCCCAGAGATCCTCTCACTGTGGGGTTGTTTTCCCCCCTTTCCCACTGATCCCACAGGCTGGAATTCCACACCCTTCGCTCTCCTCGGGTTTAGGGATGGGATTCCTTAAGGGAAAGGATTCCATGGGCGTCTGGCTGCTTGATTTTCCCTGGGAAAGGCATTGATTTTCCCTGGGCAGCCTTGGGAATGCCCCTTCCAGGGATTTGCTCTTGGGTTTTTTTTTGTGAAGCTGCTTTTCCAGGAGGGGGAGCTCAGGGAATTCCCTGGATTTGGGAGAAAAGAGGCTGAGCCGGTGCCTGCCTGGGATAACTGGGATGCAGTGGGAGAGCAGGAAAGCTGTGGATAACTCCCCTAATTATGGGAATAACCTCCTTTAATTGAACATTTCAGTTATTCCAGGGGTTTCTCACCTCATACTTCAGCCCTTTCTTACTGATCCAGGGTGGATTTCTCCCAGATTTTCCCCTCCAGGGGCGTCTCATCCTTGAATATCTTTAAATTCCCGGTGTTTACAAAGCCATTCATAAATTAAACAGCTTTTTGGGGGGGTTTTTGCTGCCGATTTGGGGACTTTTAATAAAAATACTCCAAGAAAGGGCTGGGACAGGAGAAATTTTGGGAAATCTGCTGGATTTGGGAAGCAGGGCCGGGCAGAGGAGTTAATTCCAAGGCTGGGATGTGCTGGGATAATTAAAACTGCTGAGGGGTTGTTTTTTTTTCCCCCCCCCAGAGCTGCAGAATCCATGGAAAAGCCGCTTCCCAAACTCCAGGGGAAGAACTTGGGGCAAAAAAAAAAAGGGAAAACAGGAAAAACCCCTTCCTTTGCCCCCTGCAGGAGGGAGGAGGGAGGGGTGGAATGGTTTTCCTTGCCAAGGGGGTTCTTATTGCAGTTTATCCCGATTTCTGTGGTCCTTTCTGAATTGTTTTCCCTCTTTTTTTCCCTCCTCAGCTGATCCATCTGTTTACACCATTTACATGGGCAAGGACAAGTACGAGAGTGAGTACCTGGAGCTCCCTTGGCTGGGGGGTCCTGGGGGGGGATTTGGGGACCTTTTTTGGGGTGTTGATTCAATGGATTGTTGGCCAAAACGTGGCCCTGCTTGGCGGGATCCTTCCCTTGGGATAAATCCCTGTGGGAAATCCTCTGGGCAGCAAAAATATGAGTCAAAATTAAATGTATTGGGGAAAAAAAAAACCCACCTTTTCCAGAGAAAAATCCATTTTTTTTTTGTGGTTTGGTGATTTTTTTTTTTTTTTCCTAAACCTTTCCCTGCTCCATCCTTGTTTTTTCCCCCTGTCCAGTGAGTCTTTCCATAAGTTTTCCATCTTCTGGTGATTCCAGCCCGGGGAAGGAGCTGGGATTTTGGGGGGGGGCAGGGTTTGAGCTGCTGGAATTCCCTGATGGATGTTTTTCCTTCCCACAGACGAGGATCTCATCAAGTACGGATGGCCAGAGGACATCTGGTGGGTGCTGGGAATCCCTGGAAACCCCCCCCAACCAGGGCTGGAATGCCCTTTCCATGTGGGAATTATCCCTCATGGATCCCAAACCCCCCCAGTCCCTCCCTGTCTTGGATTGAGGATCCCAAACCCCTCCCAGCCTTGGATTGAGGATCCCAAACCCCTCCCAGCCTTGGATTGAGGATCCCAAACCCCTCCCAGCCTTGGATTGAGGATCCCAAACCCCTCCCAGCCTTGGATTGAGGATCCCAAACCCTCCCAGTCAATCCCAGCCTTGGATTGAGGATCCCAAACCCCTCCCAGCCTTGGACTGAGGATCCCAAACCCTCCCGTCTTGGATTGAGGATCCCAACCCTCCCAGCCTCTGGATTGAGGATCCCAAACCCCTCCCAGCCTTGGATTGAGGATCCCAAACCCCTCCCAGCCTTGGATTGAGGATCCCAAACCCCTCCCAGCCTTGGACTGAGGATCCCAAACCCTTCCCTGTCTTGGATTGAGGATCCCAAACCCCTCCCAGCCTTGGATTGAGGATCCCAAGCCCCTCCCAGCCTTGGATTGAGGATCCCAAACCCCTCCCCTGTCTTGGATTGAGGATCCCAAACCCCCAGTCCATCCTGTCTTGGATTGAGGATCCCAAACCCCTCCCAGCCTTGGATTGAGGATCCCAAACCCCTCCCAGCCTTGGATTGAGGATCCCAAACCCCTCCCAGCCTTGGATTGAGGATCCCAAACCCCTCCCAGTCTTGGATTGAGGATCCCAAACCCCTCCCAGCCTTGGATTGAGGATCCCAAACCCCTCCCAGCCTTGGATTGAGGATCCCAAACCCCTCCCAGCCTTGGATTGAGGATCCCAAACCCCTCCCAGTCCATCCCTGCCTTGGATTGAGGATCCCAAACCCCTCCCAGCCTTGGATTGAGGATCCCAAACCCCTCCCAGCCTTGGATTGAGGATCCCAAGCCCCTCCCAGCCTTGGATTGAGGATCCCAAACCCCTCCCAGTCCATCCCTGTCTTGGATTGAGGATCCCAAACCGTTCCCAGCCTTGGACTGAGGATCCCAAACCCCTCCCAGCCTTGGATTGAGGATCCCAAACCCCTCCCTGTCTTGGATTGAGGATCCCAAACCCCTCCCTGTCTTGGATTGAGGATCCCAAACCCCTCCCAGCCTTGGATTGAGGATCTCAAACCCCTCCCTGTCTTGGATTGAGGATCCCAAACCCCTCCCAGTCCATCCCTGTCTTGGATTGAGGATCCCAAACCCTCCCAGCCTTGGACTGAGGATCCCAAACCCCTCCCAGCCTTGGATTGAGGATCCCAAACCCCTCCCAGTCCATCCCTGCCTTGGATTGAGGATCCCCAAACCGTTCCAGCAGATTGAGGATCCCAAACCCCTCCCAGTCCATCCCTGTCCTGGTCTCTCCGTCCCCTCGGGCTCTCCCAACCTTCCTCCATCCATGCTGGGAAGGAAACCCCCTGGGTCCCTCAGAGATGCCAGGAATGAAAACGCTTTTCCCACCCTCACACCATCCCAAATCCCAGCCTGGTTTGGCTGGGAAAGCTCATCCCATTCCCTGGGAATTCACCTCCCACCATCCCAGGCTGCTCCAGGGGCAGCCACAGCTGCCCTCAGGTCAGCCCATGCCGGGAATCCCTGCCCAATCTCACCCCAATCTCCTTTCCCAGTGGGAAATACATTCCCTGTGTCACTGCCATTCAGGCCCTGAATCCCAGATCCCTCTCCGGCTCTCTGGAGCCCCTGCAGGCTCTGGAAGGCGCATCCCAGCTCTCCCTGGGATCCTTCACAGGCTCCTGGGGATGTTTGCTCATCCCTTCTCCTCTCCTTTTCCCTCTCCTTTTCCCCCTCTTTCTCTCCCTTTCCTCCTCTTTCCCTCTCCTTTTTCCACCCTTTCTCCCTTTTCCCTCTCCTTTTCCTCTCCCTTTTTCCCCTTTCTCCTTTCCCTCTCCTTTCCCCCTCACCTTTTCCCCCTTTCCTCTTCCTCTCTCCCTTTCCCTCCCTTTCCCCTCTCTTTTCCTCTCTCCTTTTCTCCCTCCTTTTCCCTCCTCCTTTTCCCTCTCCTTTTCCCTCTCCTTTTCCTCCTCTTCCTCACCCTTTCCCTTCCTCCTTCCTCTCCCTGTTCCCCCTCTTCTCCCTCTCCTTTTCCCTCTCTTCTCCTCTACCCTTTTCCCCCTTTCCTCCTCCCTTTCCCCCTCTTTCCCTCCCTTTTCCCTCTCTTCTCTCTCCTTTCCCTCCCTTTCCTCTCCCTTTTCCCCCTCTTTCCCTCCCCTTTCCCCTCTTCTTCCTCTCCCTTCTCCCCCTTCTCCCTCTCCCTTTTCCCCCTCTTTCCCTCTTCCCCTTTCCCTCCCCCTCTTTCCCCCCTTCCCCCTTTCTCCCCTTTCCCCCTCTTCCCCTCTTTCCCTCCCTTTTCCCCCTCGTTCCCCTTTTCCCCCTCTTTCCCCTCCCCTTTCCCCCTTTCCCTCTCCCTTTCCCCCTCTTCCCCTCCTTTCCCCCTCTTTCCCTCCCATTTCCCCCTTTCCCCTCCCTTTTCCCCTCTTTCCTCTCCCTTTCCCCCTCTTTCCCTCTCCCTTTTCCCCCCTTTCCCTCCCCTTTCCCCCTCTCCCCCTTTCCCCCTTTCCCCCTTCCCCCTTTTCCCTCTCCCTTTCCCCCTCTTCCCTCCTTTCCCCCTTTTCCCTCTCCTTTCCCCCATTCCCCTCCCTTTCCCCCTCTTTCCCCTCTCTCCCCCCTTTCCCCCTTTCCCCCTCTTTCATCCCCTTTCCCCCTTCTCCATCCCCTTTTCCCCCTTTCCCATCCCTTTTCCCCCTTTCCCATCCCTTTCCCCTTTCCCATCCCCTTTCCCATCCCTTTCCCATCCCTTTTCCCATCCTCTTTCCCATCCTTTTCCCATCCTTTTCCCATCCCCTTTCCCATCCCCTTTTCCCATCCCCTTTCCCATCCCCTTTTCCCCCCCTTTCCCATCCCTTTTCCCCCTTTCCCATCCCTTTTCCCTTTCCATCCCCTTTTCCCCCTTTCCCATCCCTTTTCCCATCCCTTTCCCATCCCTTTCCCATCCCCTTTCCCATCCCCCTTTCTCCCTTTTCCCCCTTCCCATCCCCTTTTCCCCCCTTTCCCATCCCCTTTCCCCCTTTCCCATCCCCTTTCCCCCCTTTCCCATCCCCTTTCCTCCCTTTCCCATCCCCTTTCCCCCTTTCCCATCCTCTTTTCCCCCCCTTTCCCATCCCCTTTTCCCCCCCTTTCCCCCCCTTTCCCATCCCCTTTTCTCCCCTTTCCCATCCCATTTTCCCCCCCTCTCCCTCCCCTTTCCCACACTGACACAATCCATGTGTTTTTGGTATCCCAAGGCCACATCAACCACTTTTGCCACGTCCTCTCCCAAAGAAACCCTGGGAATTGTCCTCCCGTGGGTGTCTGGCCCCTCCCAGCCCCAATTCCCTGGGAGATGATCCCGTGGGATGGGGCTGGGAGGCTCAGGAGGTGGCACTGGGACCTGCTGTTGACTCCTGGGGGTTTTCCTGTGCTGGAGCAGGGAGGAAAAAAATTCCCAGTGGGTTAAAAACGGGTCTTGAGAAAAGCTGGGAAGAGGCTGGGATCAGCTCCTTGGAATTTTCCGGGCTGAGTCTTGGTCGAAGCCGAGGATTTTGGGGAGGGAAAAGGAGCATTTTGGCACTGGGACAGGGAAAGGGGAAGGGAGGGGAAAAGGGGGTTGTGTTTTTCCCGTGTCCCAGCGACAGGAACGTTCCCTGATGGTCCCTGCTCCGCGTCCCTTCTGATCCCACAGGTTCCACGTGGATAAACTCTCCTCTGCCCACGTGTACCTGCGGCTGCACAAGGTGAGCCTGGCCTGGAAGCCGGGAGAACTCGCCCTCCTCTGGGAATTCCGCTGCTCCAGGGCGCTCCAAACCCCGTCCAGGCTGGGCTTCCCTGGGAATTCCGGCCCGGGGAGGGATGATCCCGCTATCCCGAGCTGTCCTTGCTCTCCCCCAGGGCCAGACAGTGGATGACATTCCCAAGGAGGTGCTGATAGACTGTGCCCACCTGGTGAAGGCCAACAGCATCCAAGGTAATCCTGATTCCCGGGAAATGGCTGGCCAGGGGCTCTGTTCCCACCCTTGGATCCCGGGCCCGGTTGCTGGGACGTTTCCCTGTCGATCCCGGGGTTTTTAGGGAAGCAGATGGCGCTCGGAATTCCTCCTAAACAGGGATTTGGAATCCCTGGCGTTCCAATGGGCCTCGGAGCCTCCTTCCGTGGGATCAGTCCCTGGGAAAGCCCCGTTCCCATGGGAGAGCTGCAGCTCCACTGGTGTGGGGTGACAGCCCGGGATTCCTCCCTCACTGGTGTGGGGTGACAGCCCGGGATTCCTCCCTCCCCTCCCTCCCTGGTGTGGGGTGACAGCCCGGGATTCCTCCCTCACTGGTGTGGGGTGACAGCCCGGGATTCCTCCCTCCCCTCCCTCACTGGTGTGGGGTGACAGCCCGGGATTCCTCCCTCACTGGTGTGGGGTGACAGCCCGGGATTCCTCCCTCCCCTCCCTCACTGGTGTGGGGTGACAGCCCGGGATTCCTCCCTCCCCTCCCTCACTGGTGTGGGGTGACAGCCCGGGATTCCTCCCTCCCCTCCCTCACTGGTGTGGGGTGACAGCCCAGGATTCCTCCCTCACTGGTGTGGGGTGACAGCCCGGGATTCCTCCCTCCCCTCCTCCCTGCCCTGCTGGCCCTGTCTGGGACAGGGACTGGGACAGGGACAGGGGTGTTTGGGACTGGGACAGGGACAGGGGTGACTGGGACAGGGACAGGACTGTTTGGGACAGGGACAGGGCTGTCTGGGACAGGGACTGGGACAGGGACAGGGCTGTCTGGGACAGGGACAGGACTGTTTGGGACAGGGACAGGGCTGTCTGGGACAGGGACTGGGACAGGGACAGGGCTGTCTGGGACAGGGACAGGGCTGTCTGGGACAGGGACAGGGACAGGGACAGGGCTGTCTGGGACAGGGACAGGGCTGTCTGGGACAGGGACAGGGGTGTTTGGGACAGGGACAGGACTGTCTGGGACAGGGACAGGGATGTCTGGGACAGGGACAGGGGTGTTTGGGACAAGGCTGTTTGGGACAGGGACTGGGAGAGGGGTGTCTGGGACAGGGACTGGGACAGGGGTGTTTGGGACTGGACCAGGGCTGTTTGGGACAGGACAGGGAGAGGGGTGTTTAGGACAGGGACACAAGGACAGGCCTGTCTGGGACAGGGTCTGGGACAGGACTGTTTGGGACAGGGGCACAGGGCCAGGGCTGTTTGGGACAGGGATAGGGGTGTTTGGGACAGGGACAGGGAGAGGGGTGTCTGGGACAGGGACAGGGGTGTTTGGGACAGGGACACAGGGCCAGGGTTGTCAGGGACTGGGACAGGGCCAGGGATGTCTGGGACAGGGACAGGTCTAGGGCTGTCAGGGACAGGAGTGTCTGGGACAGGAGTGTCTGGGACAGGGCCAGGGCTGTCTGGGACAGGGCCAGGGCTGTCTGGGACAGGGACAGGGCTGTCTGGGACAGGGCCAGGGACAGGGCTGTCTGGGACAGGGACAGGGGTGTCTGGGACAGGGACTCAAGGACAGGGCTGTCTGGGACAGGGATGGGGCTGTCTGGGACAAGGACAGGGACTGGGACAGGGACAGGGGTGTCTGGGACAGGGACTGGGCTGTCTGTGACAGGGCCAAGGCCAGGGCTGTCTGGGACAGGGATGGGGCTGTCTGGGACAAGGACAGGGGTGTCAGGAACAGGGCTCTCTGGGACAGGGGTTTTTGGGACAGGGACACAGGGACACAGGGCTGTTCCCCCTGCCCAGGGTGCAAGATGGACAACGTGACCGTGGTTTACACGCCCTGGACCAACCTGAAGTGTTTGGGACAGGGACACAGGGACAGGGCTGTCAGGGACACAGGGACAGGGGTGTTTGGGACAGGGACACAGGGACAGGGCTCTCAGGGACACAGGGACAGGGGTGTTTGGGACAGGGACACAGGGACAGGGCTCTCTGGGACAGGGCCAGGGGTGTTTGGGACAGGGACACAGGGACAGGGCTGTCAGGGACACAGGGACAGGACTCTCTGGGACAGGGACACAGGGACAGGGGTGTTTGGGACAGGGACACAGGGACACAGGGCTGTTTCCCCTGCCCAGGGTGCAAGATGAACAACGTGACCGTGGTTTACACGCCCTGGACCAACCTGAAGTGTTTGGGACAGGGACACAGGGACAGGGCTCTCTGGGACAGGGCCAGGGGTGTTTGGGACAGGGACACAGGGACAGGGCTCTCTGGGACAGGGACACAGGGACAGGGGTGTTTGGGACAGGGACACAGGGCCAGGGCTGTTTCCCCTGCCCAGGGTGCAAGATGAACAACGTGACCGTGGTTTACACGCCCTGGACCAACCTGAAGAAGACGGCGGACATGGACGTGGGGCAGATCGGCTTCCACCGGCAGAAGGACGTGAGTGTGGGAGCTCTGGATCACTGGGATAGCGGGGAGAGAGTGTCCTTATCCAGCCCTGGGAGTGCCCCAGGCCGGGTTGATGCCCTGGATCACTGGGATAACAGGGAATGTGTCCTTATCCAGCCCTGGGATGGTGGGAGGTGTCCTTGGTCCAGGTGGAATTAAATGAGCTTTGAGGTCCCTTCCCACCCAAACCACGCCAGGATTCCAGGATAAAGGACACTCAGAACCCCCTTGTTCCCAGAGAGGAGTTGGGCTGGGGATGGATCCAATGTCAGGCTCTGGATCCAGGCTGGGAGAGCTGGGAATGGCCAGGCTGGAGCAGGGAAGGATCCAGGGAGAGCTGGGAGCCCCTTCCAGAGCCTGCAGGGGCTCCAGGAGGAGCTGGAGAGGGATTTGGGATCAGGGCCTGGAATGGCAGGACACAGGGAATGGCTTCCCACTGGGAAAGGGGAGATTGGGGTGGGAGATTGGGAAGGGATTCCCGGCTGGGCTGGAATTCCCAGGGAAGCTGTGGCTGCCCCTGGATCCCTGGGGTGTCCCATGGCAGGGGTTTCCCTCGGGATTTTCCCCAGGATCCAGCCCCGTGTCAGGGCTGTGGGAGCCCCCCATCCCGGTGTATCCATCCCCCATTCCCAGGTGAAGATGCTGACAGTGGAGAAGAAGGTGAACGAGATCCTGAACCGGCTGGAGAAGACGAAGGTGGAGCGGTTCCCAGACCTGGCAGCCGAGAAGGAGGCCCGGGACAGGGAGGAGAGGAACGAGAAGAAGGCCCAGATCCAGGAGATGAAGAGGAGGGAGAAGGAGGAGATGAAGAAGAAGAAGGAGCTGGAGGAGCTGAGGTGAGGGATCCATCCCGTTCCCGAGGGGTCAGCAGGCCCGGGGCTCCCTGCCCTGCATGGCCCAGCAATTCCCTTTGTCCCAGCAATTCCCATTGTCCCGAGCATTCCCAGGAACAATCAATCAGAGCCCAGCGATTCCCGAGCATTCCCAGGAACAATCGGGGCCGTTCCGGCCGCTGCTCAAAGTTGGGGAGTTCAAAACCCTCTTGGGGTTGAGGAAATTGGGGAATTATTGGCTTGGTCCAATTCCAGCTCCCCGGGAGCTTCGGGAATGGCTGAGGCTTCCCCGGAGCTCAGCGCCTTCCTCTGCATTAATGGCCCTGCTAATTAATATTCCTTCTAATTAATGCTCCTCTAATTAATATCCCTCTGCATTAATATTTCTTCTAATTAGTGTCCCTCTCCAGTAATGTCCCTCTCCAGTAATGTCCCTTCTAATTAATACCCCTCTCCATTAATATTTCTGCTAATTAATATCCCTCTCCATTAATATTTCTGTTAATTAATATCCCTCTAATTAATACCCCTCTCCATTAATACCCCTCTCCACTGCTAATTAATACCCCTCTAATTAATATCCTCTCCATTGATATCCCTCTCCATTAATATCCCTGCTAATTAATACCCCTCTCCATTAATATTCCTCTCCATTCATATCTCTCTCTATTGATATCCCTGCTAATTAATACCCCTCTGATTAATATCCCTCTCCATTACTACCCCTCTCCACTGATATCCCTGCTAATTAATATCCCTCTCCATTAATACCCCTCTCCATTAGTATCCCTGCTAATTAATACTCTCTAATTAATATTCCTCTCCATTAATATCCCTGCTAATTAATACCCCTCTAATTAATATGCCTCTCCCATTACATACTCCCTCCCCATTCATACTCTCCCTGCTAATTAATATCCCCTCCTAATTAATATCCCTCTCCATTAGTACCCCTCTCACTGATATCCTCTCATTAATATCTCTAATAACCCCTCATTAATCCCTCCCCATTCATATCTCTCTCTATTGATATCCCTGCTAATTAATACCCCTCTCCATTAGTATCCCTGCTAATTAATACCCCTCTCCACTGATATCCCTGCTAATTAATACCCCTCTAATTAATATCCCTCTCCATTAATAACTCTACTAATTAATACCCCTCTCCATTAGTATCCCTGCTAATTAATACCCTCTCCATTAATACCCCTCTCCATTAATACCCCTCTAATTAATACCCCTCTCCATTAATATCCCTGCTAATTAATACCCCTCTAATTAATATCCCTTTCCATTGATACCCCTCTCCATTGATACCCCTCTCCATTGATACCCCTCTCCATTGATACCCCTCTCCATTAATACCCCTCTCCATTAATACTCCTCTCCATTAATACTCTCTCCATTAATACTCTTCTAATTAATACTCCTCTAATTAACACCCCTCTCTATTAAACATCCCTTCCTCTTCCCCCCCCGGCACTCATTAGCAGTTAATTAACGCCCTTAATCCCCCCCTGCTGGCAGCAGGGAACGAGGGAGGAGGGTTTGGAACGTGGCCCTGACCTCCACAAGGACCTCATTCCCGGGGATTTCCCGCTCCAAAAACTCCCCTTGGAAGCTCTTCCCGAGCTCCCGGGGATCAAAAGCGGGATTTGCAGGAAAATGGGGAATTTCCCGAGCGATCCAACGGGATTAGGGGGGCTGGGGGGGGGGCTGGTTTAACCCTGCAGCTCCCGAAATCTGGGATTTCCCCCCCGCCAGGATGGTGGATCCCGAAGGAAAAAAACCTTGGAAAAAGCCATCAGACTGTCACTGACCTTCCTAGCCCTGGGGTTAATTAGTGAGGAGGGGGAGATGAGCAACTCATTATCCCTCCTGGCTGAGCTCCAGGAGGAAAAACAATGCCCATTTCCTGGGATTCGGGAATTCTTCACCCCAAAGGGGGCGCCCCCCCCCGTTCTGGTGGCTCTCCAAGGGATGGGATTTGGGGATAACGGTTTGGGATTTTCCCTGGCAGGAGCTACTCCTCCCTGATGAAGGCTGAGAACATGTCCTCCAACCAGGTGAGTGATCCCACTGCTGATCCCACACAATGCCTGGGGATGGGATGGAATTCCAGCCTGCCATCCCACAGGGAATGCCACTGGCTCTGGGAGCACCCTGGGGACCAGGGGGGCTGAGGAAACAGGGATACAGAGATCCCAGGGTGAGGATGAACGGGATGCTCCGTCCCTGGAAGTGCTGGATGGGGCTTGGAGCAACCTGGGATGGAGGGAGGTGTCCCTGAACATGGAATGGGATGGGATTTAATGCCCCTTCCAACCCATCCCATTCCATGATTCTATTATGAAGGACACTCAGGATCCACTCAGAGGGGTTTTTATGGAATGTGGGGATGGAAAAGGCAGGAAAGGGGAAGGGAGACCCTTCCCTGAGTGCCGAGATTCCCAGGGAACCCCCCCTTGTTCCCGGAACTCCTTCCCAGAGAGGAGTTGGGCTGGGCATGGATCCAATGTCAGGCTCTGGATCCAGGCTGGGAGAGCTGGGAATGGCCAGGCTGGAGCAGGGAAGGATCCAGGGAGAGCTGGGAGCCCCTTCCAGAGCCTGCAGGGGCTCCAGGAGAGCTGGAGAGGGATTTGGGATCAGGGCCTGGAATGGCAGGACACAGGGAATGGCTTCCCACTGGGAAAGGGGAGATTGGGGTGGGAGATTGGGAAGGGATTCCCGGCTGGGCTGGAATTCCCAGGGAAGCTGTGGCTGCCCCTGGATCCCTGCAGTGTCCCAGGCCGGGTTGGATCCCCTGGGATAGCGGGAGCTGTCCCTGCCCATGGAATGGGATGAGCTTTGCTGTCCCCCCAGCCCAAACCGTTCCCCTCGGCTTTGCTCTCATTCCCTGGGGTGAAATCCAAGAAACTGGAACAAACAGGAATTCTGCAATAATCCAGCCCCCATTTCCCACTTTCAGCATTCCTGGTGATCCCCATTTTTCCCGGTTTTTTTTCTTTCCCCCCCAAGGACGGCAACGACTCCGATGACTTCATGTGAGCGGGGCCGCCCCGATGCTGAAATGCCAAAAATCCACCCCAAACCCACGGACTGGGAGCCCATTCCCGGCCTGCTCCGGGCCAGGCCACCCTCTGGAAGGAGCAGCCGGATCCCTGGGATGGCTTCCAGCCCCGTGCTTCTCCCAAGGACAATGGTATTTATTTTTGGGGATGGGATTTGAGGCCCAGCAAACAAAGCTGGGCCGTGGCCTCAGAACCATCCCCCTCCCTGGTGCTGCTGCCTCTGGAATTCTGCTCCTTCCCACTGGGAATCGCCTGGAATTCTGCTCCTTCCCACTGGGAACACCGAGAAGGAAATCGGGATGAGCTCGGGGGTGGCTCCCAGTTAAACCTGGAGCAGCGAGCGGTGAAATCCAGCTCCGATTCCCGCCCCCAACCCCCTGGAATTCCACGAGATTCCCGCCTGGAAAGCTCCTCTGCATGGAAGGGTTGGGTTTTCCATGGGATTCACCGGGTGGATCCTCCCACCTGGGCATTCCCTGGGGTTTTGGGGTGGTTGGGGGGGGTGGAATCCATGGATAATCCTGGTGTAAATATCCCCATTAAACTCGTGCCATGCAGGCAACTTCCTGGAATTCTGGAGGGAGGGGGTTGGAAAACAGGGAAAAGAGGCCCTCAAGGAGCTCAAACCGTCACGGGCACGCCGGAAATCGTGGAATATTCTGGGAGAAAAGGGCAAATCCCGGTGATGACGCACCTGGAATGAGCTGCTCCCAGCAATTCCCGGCATTCCCCACGGGAAAAGGGGCCTAAGGAAGGGGCCAGGCTGCCCTGAGCCCTCCCAGTTCCATACTGGGAAGAGCAGGAGGAGGATGTGGGATGTTTTCCTCTTTAGGGATGTGGGAAGGGGGGGAATCCAAGGGAAAAGCGAGGCCTGGAGCAGCCAGAGGCGCTCCCTCTTTTCCCAGGCGCTCCTGGAAAAGCAGGGAGAAGGTGGGAATGTGGGAAGGGAGGGGTGAGGAGCTGGGGGGCCCCTCCCTGTCCTGCCCACAAAGGGCCCTTTCACGGATGGGGCTGGAGCGGATCCGGAGGCAGCTCCAGGGTTTTCCTTGGCACCGGAATCCGGCGGATCCAGAGGCTCTGGCACCGCCCCGGCCTGGCAGCTCCAGGGTTTTCCTTGGCACTGGAATCCCATGGATCCAGAGGCTCCGGCACCGCCCTGGCCTGGCAGCTCCAGGGTTTTCCTTGGCACCGGAATCCGGCGGATCCAGAGGCTCCGGCACCGCCCTGGCCTGGCAGCTCCAGGGTTTTCCTTGGCTCTGGAATCCCATGGATCCAGAGGCTCTGGCACCGCCCCGGCCTGGCAGCTCCAGGGTTTTCCTTGGCTCCGGAATCCGGCGGCTCCGCTGGCCTCGGGAGCCCTCGGGATGGGGAGGCACGGCCTGGGATCCCAGGGAGCTGTGAACTTGGGAATGGGGGGTCCTTGGGAATGGGGGTCCATGGGAATGGAGAGTCCTTGGGAATGGGGGTCCATGGGAATGGGGAGTCCTTGGGAATGGGGGTCCTTGGAATGGGGTGTCCATGGAAATGGGGTGTCCATGGGAATGGGGTGTCCATGGGGTGTCCATGGAATGGGGGTCCTTGGGAATGGGGGATCCTTGGGAATGGGGTGTCCTTGGGAATGGGGTGTCCATGGGAATGGGGTGTCCATGGGAATGGGGTGCCCTTGGGAATGGGGGGTCCTTGGGAATGGGGTGTCCATGGAATGGGGGGTCCTTGGGAATGGGGAGTCCTTGGGAATGGGGGGTCCATGGGAATGGGGTGTCCATGGGAATGGGGGGTCCATGGGAATGGGGTGTCCTTGGGAATGGGGTGTCCATGGAATGGGGTGTCCTTGGGAATGGTGGATCGGTGTCCGTGTTCCCAACACCCCATGGATCCCTGGGCACATATTCCCAAACCCCCCAGGGGTCCCTGTCCATGGGAACATATTCCCAACACCCCCTGGATCACTGTCCATGGAATGTGAATCCCTGGATCACCCTCTGGATCCCTGTCCATGGAATGTGAATCCCTGGATCACCCCCTGGATCCCTTTCCATGGAATGTGAATCCTTGGATCCCTGCCCATGGAATGTGAATCCCTGGATCACCCCCTGGATCCCTGCCCATGGAATGTGAATCCCTGGATCCCTGCCCATGGAATGTGAATCCCTGGATCCCTGTCCATGGAATGTGAATCCCTGGATCACCCCCTGTTTCCCTGCCCATGGAATGTGAATCCTTGGATCCCTGTCAGTGGAATGTGAATCCTTGGATCAACCCCTGGATCCCTGCCCATGGAATGTGAATCCTTGGATCCCTGTCCATGGAATGTGAATCCCTGGATCCCTGCCCATGGAATGTGAATCCCTGGATCCCTGCCCATGGAATGTGAATCCCTGGATCCCTGTCCATGGAATGTGAATCCCTGGATCACCCCCTGGATCCCTGCCCATGGAATGTGAATCCTTGGATCCCTGTCCATGGAATGTGAATCCCTGGATCACCCCCTGTTTCCCTGCCCATGGAATGTGAATCCTTGGATCCCTGCCCATGGAATGTGAATCCTTGGATCCCTGTCCATGGAATGTGAATCCTTGGATCCCTGCCCATGGAATGTGAATCCCTGGATCCCTGCCCACACCCACCCTGTCCCTCCCCAGCGCCTTTTCCAACAATGCCTCGGGAATGTTGGGAATGCCGAGCCCCTTTCCCGCCCCTCTCCCCCCATGGATTCCCCCCCGCCCCCGGCTCCCACTGCTCCCTAAGCACTTCCCATCCCGGGATCCCCCCAATCCCAGCGGGACAATCCCAACCATTCCCGGGGTTTGTGTGTGGGATATCCCATCCTGGGATCCCCCCAATCCCAGCGGGACAATCCAAACCATTCCCGGGGGTTGTTTCCCATCCCGGGATCCCCCCCAATCCCAACCATTCCCGGGGGGTGTTTCCCATCCCGGGATCCCCCCAATCCCAGCGGGACAATCCCAACCATTCCCGGGGGTTGTTTCCCATCCCGGGATCCCCCCCAATCCCAACCATTCCCGGGGTGTTTCCATCCCGGATCCCCCAATCCCAGCGGGACAATCCCAACCATTCCCGGGGTTTGTGGGGGGGGGTCTCCCATCCCATCCCCCACCTCTGTAAGGAATTCCCAGCCCCCCCTTTCCCGAGCCCCCTCCCTCCCCCGTCCCGCCCCATCCCAAGGCCGATCCCGGTTTTCCTCCCGCCCGGGGCCGCTGTTTTGGGATCAAAACAGGAAGCGGAGCTGCCAACACCAACAAACGCGCCCGGGCGGAACGGCCCGGCCCGGCCCGGGGCCTTTGGGGGTCTGAGACCCCCAATTCCCGCTGCCACAGCAGGGGACACCCCCCGGGACCCACCGTGCCCCTCCCAGTGTTCCCAGTATTCCCAGTGTTCCCAGTGTTCCCAGTTCAGGAGCCGCCCGTCCCAAAGGCCTTTATTGTGCCGCGAGTGCATCGGGGGCACAGCGCGGGGTTTGGGGGTCGCGGGGGGGGCACAAACCGGCTGGGCCCCATCCCGGGGGACCCCAAATCCCGGGGATCCCCCCCCAATGCCGGGGGCACGGGGACCAGCCCCGGGGCTGAACTGGGAGGGACTGGGAGGGACTGGGAACCCCATCCCCACCCCGGGCCTGCGGGGGGGGCGCTCGGGGGGCAGTGGGGACCCCCTGTCCTAAATATTGACCTGGAGGGGTCAGGGGGTGACAATGGAGACCCCCTGTCCTAAATATTGACCTGGGGGGTCAGGGGGTGACAATGGAGACCCCCTGTCCTAAATATTGACCTGGGGGGTCGGGGGGTGACAATGGGGACCCTCTATCCTAAATATTGACCTGGGGGGTAACAATGGGGACCCCCTGTCCTAAATATTGTCCGGGGGGGTCAGGGGGTGACAATGGGGACCCCCATCCTAAATATTGTCTTGGGGGGTCAGGGGGTGACAATGGGGACCCCCTGTCCTAAATATTGTCCGGGGGGGTCAGGGGGTGACAATGGGGACCCCCTGTCCTAAATATTGTCCGGGGGGATGACAGTGGGGACCCCCTGTCCTAAATATTGTCCTGGGGGGTGACAGTGGGGACCCCCTGTCCTAAATATTGTCCTGGGGGGTGACAGTGGGGACCCCCTGTCCTAAATATTGACCTGAGGGGTCAGGGGGTGACAGTGGGGACCGCCGTCCCAATTATTGACCTGGGGGGTCAGGGGGTGACAATGGGGACCCCCTGCCCCAATTATTGTCCTGGAGGGGTCAGGGGGTGACAATGGGGACCCCCTGTCCTAAATATTGACCTGGGGGGTAACAATGGGGACCCCCTGTCCTAAATATTGACCTGGAGGGTCAGGGGGTGACAGTGGGGACCCCCGTCCTAAATATTGACCCGGGGGGGTCAGGGGGTGACAGTGGGGACCCCCTGTCCTAAATATTGTCCTGGGGGGTCAGGGGGTGACAATGGGGACCCCTGTCCCAAATATTGACCTGGGGGGTCAGGGGGTGACAATGGGGACCCCCTGTCCTAAATATTGACCGGGGGGGTCAGGGGGTGACAATGGGACCTCTGCCTAAATATTGACCTGGGGGGTGACAGTGGGGACCCCCTGTCCTAAATATTGTCCGGGGGGGGTCAGGGGGTGACAATGGGGACCCCCTGCCCTAAATATTGACCTGGGGGGTGACAGTGGGGACCCCCTGTCCTAAATATTGTCCGGGGGGGGTCAGGGGGTGACAATGGGGACCCCCTGCCCTAAATATTGACCTGGGGGGTGACAGTGGGGACCCCCTGTCCCAATTATTGACCTGGGGGGTCAGGGGGTGACAATGGGGACCCCGTGCCCCAGTTATTATCCTGAGGGGGCTGGGGATGGAATTTGGGGACCCCCTGTCCCAGGGGATGGAATTGGGGTCCCCCAATTACCCCCAGTCACTGTCCCGGGGGGTCCCAGGGGATGGAATTGGGGATCCCTCCGTTATTCCCACTATCCCCAGTCACTGCCTGGGGGTCCGGGGGGTCCCAGGGGATGGAATTGGGGACCCCTCCGTTATCCCCCGTCACTGTCCCGGGGGGTCCCAGGGGATGGAATTGGGGACCCCTCTGTTATCCCCCATCACTGTCCCGGGGGTCCGGGGGGTCCCGGTGGCCCGGGGGGTCCCCTCATGCCGGGGTCTCCCTCGGGCCCCTCTGGCCCCGCCCGGCCCGCGTTCCCGGGGGTCCCGGGCAGCCCCTGCTCGCCCTGCGGGCCGGGGGGTCCCGCCCTTCCCGCTCCCCCCTCGGGCCCCGCGGGTCCGGGATCCCCCGTGGGTCCGCCCTGGCCCCGCCATCCCGAGGCTCCAAAGCCGCCCTTGGAGCCCTTGAATCCCGGGAATCCTTTCGTTCCCGGGGGTCCCCGTTCCCCCTGCGGGCCGGGGGGGCCCGGGGGTCCCGAGGGGCCGGGCGGGCCCGGCGATCCCGGGGTCCCGATGTCACCCTGCTGTCCCCCGATCCCCGCGGGGCCACCGGACCCAACGTCCCCCCCAGGCCGCGGGGGCCCGGGAGACCCGGAGCGCCTGCAGGGAGAGAGGGAGGAGGGAGGGAGAGAGGAGAGGAGGCGTGAGGGGGACGCTCCCACCGCGCTGGGAATTCCATCCCCTCATCCAGGGGCAGCTGCTCCCTCTCCTCTGGGACAGGGAGAGGAGGCACCGCTGGAAGGACCTCCCTGCTGTCCCTGTCCCTCCATCCTGGGACGCCCCCTCATCCATGGGATGCTCCAGGTGCCTTCCCGCACATCCCAGCCCTTCCCTGGCCTCAGCACTGCTGGTTTGGACCCTCCTCCACCTCCCTTGGGATCAGGATCCCCCCCCAAATCCAAGGAAGCGCCCCTGATCCCCCCTCTCTCACCTCAGAGCAGGGTGAGGTTCCCAAGCCCATCCCCGTGCCGTGGATCCACCGAATCCCACCCAACCCCTCCAAATCCCCCGGAATCCCGGGAAAGGCTCCCCGTTCCCCTCGCCTCGGAGCAGGGTGGTGTTCCCCAGCGCGTCCCCGTGCCGTGCTCCCATCCCAAGCCCTCCCAAAATCCCCCAGAATCCCGGGAAGAGCTCCCCGGATCCCCCCTTTTGGCTCACCCCGGAGCTAGGTGATGTTCCCCAGCTCGTCCCCCTGCCGCGCATCCACCACATCCCACAAAATCCCCCGGAATCCCGGGAAGAGCTCCCCAGATCCCCCCTTTTGGCTCACCCCGGAGCAGGGTGATGTTCCCCAGCTCGTCCCCCTGCCGCGCATCCACGGCCCGCATCTCCTCCAGCAGCAGGGACAGGTTTGTCACGCCGCGGTCCAGGCGGGCCCCCAGGACCCCGCAGCGCTCCCGCAGGAGCCGCGCCGAGCCCTGGAGCTCCCCGAGGCTGCCGTGGAGCCCCCGCAGCTCCCGCGCGTGGGTTTGGGAGCGCAGGGAGCAGGCGAGCCCCACGTCCGACAGGTAGCGGCTCATGCCCCGCAGGTGCCCGGCCGTGGCCTCGGTGTTGGCCCAGATGGTCCCGATCTCCGCCCCGCGGGATTCCAGGAGCGCCTCCAGCGCCGGGAACCGCTCGGCCGTGCGGGAATGGGCGAGCTCCTGGCGGTACCTGCGGGGCACAGCGTGGCGAGGGGGAAATGTGGGGTCGCAGGCATCCCAGTCCCTCGTGGCAGGCCCCGGAGCCCACGCGGGGTCACGGAGGGCCCGGGAAAACTTCCCCACCCCGCAGATCCTGGAGGCCCAGATTGGTAGGGACAGTGGGGGCGGTGCCCTAGAACACCCCACAGGGACAGTGGGGACACTGCCCTAGAACACCCCACAGGGACAGTGGGGACACTGCCCTAGAACACCCCACAGGGACAGGGACAGTGGGGACACTGCCCTAGAACACCCCACAGGGACAGTGGGGACAGTGGGGACACTGCCCTAGAACACCCCACAGGGACAGTGGGGACACTGCCCTAGAACACCCCACAGGGACAGGGACAGTGGGGGCACTGCCCTAGAACACCCCACAGCTCATATGGGGACACTGCCCTAGAACACCCCACAGGGACAGGGACAGTGGGGACACTGCCCTAGAACACCCCACAGCTCACAGGGACAGTGGGGACTCTGCCCTAGAACACCCCACACCCCACAGGGACAGTGGGGACACTGCCCTAGAACACCCCACAGGGACAGTGGGGACTCTGCCCTAGAACACCCCACAGCCCACAGGGACAGTGGGGACACTGCCCTAGAACACCCCACAGGGACAGTGGGGACTCTGCCCTAGAACACCCCACACCCCACAGGGACAGTGGGGACACTGCCCTAGAACACCCCACAGCTCACATGGGGACACTGCCCTAGAACACCCCACAGGGACAGTGGGGACAGTGGGGACACTGCCCTAGAACACCCCACAGCTCACATGGGGACACTGCCCTAGAACACCCCACAGGGACAGTGGGGACACTGCCCTAGAACACCCCACAGGGACAGTGGGGACACTGCCCTAGAACACCCCACAGCCCACAGGGACAGTGGGGACACTGCCCTAGAACACCCCACAGGGACAGTGGGGACACTGCCCTAGAACACCCCACAGCTCATATGGGGACACTGCCCTAGAACACCCCACAGGGACAGTGGGGACACTGCCCTAGAACACCCCACAGCTCACAGGGACACGGGGGTCCTATAAGTATTTATATAGATAAAATATACAAAATATGTATTTATATATTAAATATGTAGATAAAGTATATATTAAAATGTATATATAGATATATATTAAATATACACTAAATGTACGTTTTAATATATTTTTCATCTATTTTTAGATATATATATATGTAGGTATATGGATATATCTAATGTATTTCATCTACATATTATTTTATACTTATATGTAGAATATATTTTGATGCAAATATATTGTGTATCTGTAAAAATAGACTAAATAAATTTTTATATAATTATATAAATAAATTATATGTAAATAATATATAAATATATCACATATAAAGAAATAATATATAAATATATTATAATATATACTATATATTATATAATATATATTATTATGTCTATCATATATATACTATATATTATATAATATATATTATTATATCTATCATGTATATAATATATAATATATGATATCTAGTACATATTATATATATGATAGATATAATATATAATATCTAGTATATATTATATATATGTATATATATCTATATATAATATATATAGATATAATATATTTTATATATTATAAAATATATTATATATGTTATATATTATCATATATAATATATTATATATAATATATTATATATCATCTATAATACATAATTATATATTATATTTAATAATATAATTTATTATATATTATATACAGTATTATATATTATATAATATATTATATAATTTATATTATATATAATATAATATAATATCATGATATATAAATATATGATATATATAATATATATAAATAATAATATATAAAATATAAAAATAAATAATATATATAATATATATTATATATATTATATATATTATATATATTATATATATTATATATATTATATATATTATATATATATAAATAATATATATAAATAATATAAAAATAAATAATATATAAATAAATATATATCCCATAAATAATAACGCACATCTATAACACCTAAAAACGCATTAAAGGAGCGGCTCTGAGCCCTTTGAGCAGCCCATGGGGATGACCCCGAGTGCGGGCGGTGCCTCTTTGGGGACCGCCCCGCGATGTCCCCGCCCGGGCGGTACCTGCGGTCTGCGAGGCCGTCCTGCTGCTGCTCCAGGCGGGCGCTCAGGGTGTCCCCGCGGCGCCGCAGCTCCCGCAGCCTCCTCCGCAGCTCCCGCAGCCCGCGGGCCGAGCGGGCGGCCCGCAGCGCCTCCCGCCCCGCGCCGCCCCGCGCCCCGCGCAGCGCCCGCCGCGCCCGCCCCGCGCCCTCCCGCAGCTCCCGCAGCTCCTCCCGCAGCCCCCGCCGCTCCTCCCGCAGCCCCCTGCAGCGCCCGCGCCGCCTCCTCCGCAACCCCCGCAGCTCCCGCAGCCTCTCCCGGCCCCGCTCCGCGCCGCGCCTCAGCGCGCCCAGCGCCGCCGCCAGCCCCGCACGCCGCCCCCGCAGCCCCCGCAGCGCCTCCGACAGCCGAGACCCGCGTCCCGCAGCCCCCGAGCCGCGCCAGCAGCTGCCCCGCGTCCCGGCCCAGCCCCGCAGCCGCGCCTGCAGCGCTGCAGCCGCGCCCGCAGCCCCGCGCCGGCCGCGGAGCGCAGGGAGAGGCTGCGGGACGCGCCCTCCAGCTGCGCGTCCTGACCCCGCAGCGCCCGCTGCTGCTCCGACAGAGCGTCCCGCAGGTCCGACAGAGCATCCCGCACATCCGACAGAGAGCTCCGCACATCCGATCAGAGAGCCCCGCAGATCCGACCTGGCCCAGCTGGCCCAGCCCCCTCAGAGCGGTTCCTGCAGCTCCTCTCGCCTGAGCACGGGGCAGAGGGGCGATCAGCCCGTCCCATCCCATCCCATCCCATCCCATCCCATCCCATCCCATCTCATCCCATCCCATCCCATCCATCCTATCCCACCTATCCTATCCCATCCCATCCCTGTATCCCATCCCATCCCATCCCATCCCATCCCATCCCATCCCATCCCATCCCATCCCGTCCCATCCATCCCATCCCATCCCTGTCCATCCCTGTCCCATCCTATCCCATCCCATCCCGTCCCTGTCCATCCCATCCCATCCCATCCTATCCCATCCCATCCCATCCCATCCCATCCCTGTATCCCATCCCATCCCATCCCATCCCATCCCATCCCATCCCATCCCTCCGTATCCCATCCCTGTATCCCATCCTATCCCATCCCATCCCGTCCCGTCCATCCCATCCCATCCCATCCCATCCCTGTATCCATCCCATCCCATCCCATCCTATCTCATCCACATCCCATCCCATCCCATCCCTGTATCCCAGCCCAGTCCCAGCCCATCATAGCCCATCCCATCCCATCCCATCCCATCCCATCCCATCCCATCCCATCCCATCCCATCCCATCCCATCCCTGTATCCCATCCCATCCCATCCCATCCCATCCCATCCCATCCCGTCCCATCCCATCCCATCCCATCCCATCCCTGTATCCCATCCCTGTATCCCATCCCATCCCGGGATCCACCTGTTATCCCACCCCACCACATCCCGGGACCCCTCTGTTATCCCACCCCATCCAGAGATCCCCCTGTTATCCCACCCCATCCCATCCTCCAGACCTGGAGATCCCTCTGTTATCCACCCCATCCCGGATTCCCCTGTTATCCCACCCCATCCCGGGATCCACCTGTTATCCCACCCCATCCCATCCCGAGATCCCCCTGTTATCCCACCTCATCCCGGGATCCACCTGTTATCCCACCCCACCACATCCCAGGATCCACCTGTTATCCCACCCCATACCGAGATCCAACTGTTATCCCATCCCACCCCAGAGATCCACCTGTTATCCCACCCCATCCCAGAGATCCCCTGTTATCCCACCCCATCCCGGGATCCCTCTGTTATCCCACCCCATCCCGAGATCCCTCTGTTATCCCACCCCATCCCAGGATCCATCTGTTATCCCACCCCATCCCATCCCGGGACCCACCTCTTATCCCACCTCATCCCACCCCATCCCGAGATCCCTCTGTTATCCCACCCCACCCTCCAGGCCTGGACCCCCCCTGGCTCCACGGCCAGCCCTTCCTATCCCCCCAGGGAACAATTCCTTCCCTCCAGGGAACAATTCCTTCCCTCCGGGACAGTTTGGAGCCACCCGGACCCGCGGGAGGTGTCCCCGGATCCCCCCGGATCCTTAATCTCATCCTAATTCCATGATTCCATGACCCTGGAGAAGGGAACTCCCCAGTCCCACCCTCCTCCTGCTCCTGCAGCTTCTCCAACCCCCCCAGCCCCCTCCTCGGGGTCTCCCATTCATCCCTGCCCAAAATCCCGGGAGAGGAGCAGGGGGTCGGCCCTGGGGAGCGCCGGGAAAGGGCGATCCCTCATTCCCGGCTGGATGAGCACCTGGAAAAGGCCTCTCCGGGTGCGGGTCCGGGCCACTCACCCAAGCCCTGGAGATGCTCCTGGATACGGAGCAGCCTCTCCTCGTAGCAGGCCTGGGCCGAGCTGATCCGGCTGGAGATGGAATCCGCCTTCCTGAACGCTGCCGAGGGATCGGGGGCGGGGGGTTTGGGAGTCAGGAGAGCCGGGAATGCCCCCGGGAATGCCACGCCTTCCCTCCCGGCTGGCACAGAGGGGACTGGTGAGAGCCAGGCTGGGACGGGCACCCCCCGGGCGCCTCCAGGATTCCACCCCTGAGGAACGTGCTGTCCCTCTGCTCCAGCCTGGGAAGCGCCTGGGATGCGGTGGGATGCGATGGGATGCGATGGGATGGGATGGGATCCAACCTCGGGGCTCTGAGGTGGTTCCTGATGTTCCCGTGAGGACAAACCAACCCCCCTCCTTCCCCACCTTCCTGAGGTGCCTCCACACCCAGGGCGCTCCCGGTGGAATTCCAGCCGCTCCCGGGATGCCTCACCACCCCGCCCCACCTCCCCGATATTCCCACCGCAGCATTCCCAACCCTTTTCCCGGCTCACCCAGCGCTCCCAGCACGGCCACGGCCAGCGCCAGCAGCAGGGTCAGGGCGTAGAGGCCACGCAGGGCGCCCTGCAGGGACGGTGTCCCCCGGCAGCGCCTGCTCCGGGCCCTTCCTGAGGGAACAGGGATCGGGATCAGGCCCCGCCGGGCCCCAATTCCCTCCCCCTGGAATTCCTTACCCCTCGCTCCGGAGCCCAAGGGCGGCATCTCCTCGTCCTCGTCCTCGTCCTCGCCCTCCACGGGCTCGTGTCCTGCCAGGAGACACGGCGCGGCCTCAGCTCCCCCACCCCAGCCCTCCTCATCCCATTCCCGGGCATCCCGAGGATCCCTGGGAAGCGCCCCGGCCGCGTCCAGCCCCGGCATTCCCGGGAGAAAGCCGGGAAGGAGCGGCCGGTGCCGCCAGGAGTAAAACCTCGGGAGAGCCAGGACACGCGTCCTGTCCCCTCCCAACACCCAGCGGGACCTTCGGGAGCCAAATCCATCGGTTTGGGAAGGGGTTTGGACCAGAATTTTGGGGGGAAATTTGGCTGGATTTGGCCCCAGAGCGGGGAGTGGGCACAGGGAGGGCTCCTGGCTCCGGCTCCAAGGGGTTTCCCGAGAATAAAAACCACGGGAGCAAAGGGAAAAACACCTCCCCAGTGTGAGGGGGGGAAATCTGGGCACCAAATCCATAAATTCCGGTGGGATTCGGAGCACAAAATTGTGGAAACTTGGCTGGATTTGCCCCAAAATGAGTGATGGACACGGGGAGGGCTCCTGGCTCCAAATCCATGAGTCTGGGGAAGTTTGGCCCATAAATTTAGGGAAAATTGGGCTGGATTTGGCCCCAAAAGTGGTTGGATTTGGCTCCTGGCTCGGAGGGGCTTCCCAGGAATAAAAACCCCCCATGGGATCAAAGGAAACCCCGAGACCCCCCAGACCGGACCCCCAGTGTGGGGGGGTGGTTAAATTTGGGATCTTCCCGGTGTCCCCCCTTTTATTCCATCTGGACCCCCAAAATTGGGGGGAAAGGAAGAGGGGCTTTGGGGGCAGGGGGTGGAGAAATTCCCGTCCTTCCCATCCCAAATTTGGCTTTTCCTCCCTATGGAATCAACAAGCAGCGGGATCTGAACGAGCAGGGCGAGCCCTGGGACCTCCCCCCCAATCCCTCTTTTCCCTCCCCCTTCCCAATTCGGGGGTCCCAGGCGGTGTCTGGACCCCCAATCTCCCCCCTTCCCCCAAATTCGGGGGTCCCCAGCCATTCCCAGCCCCCACTCACGGGAAGCAGGAGCTGGGTGAGATTTTGGGATCCCCACCCCCACTCCGGCACATCCATCCCGTCCATCCCCCCCTCCCGCTGTTCCCAGACCCCCCCAATCCCGCCGGGAATGTTCCCCCCTCACCTCTCATCTCCCCCCGGGGGGGCCTCAGCGCCCCTTTTCCCGCACCCTCCTCTTCCCGCAGCTCCTCAGGGTCCGGATCCCTCTGGAGCCGCTTCCCGGCGTTTTCCCCGCGCCCCCAAAACTTCCCGGGGAGCGTCTCGGATCCCCCCCAGCGCCGGAGCATCCCCGGAGCCCATCCGGGAGCCGGGAACGGCGCCCCGGGAATGGCGCGGCCACCAAAAACCGGGAGCGCCCGCTGGAAAAAAGGGAAAAGGGCCGGGAAGGAAACCCTGAGCCCGCCCCAAAGGAATCACGAGAGGGGAGGGGGGAACGGCCCCGATCCACCGGGATTGGGAACACGGGGGCTTGGGAAAAGGGGTGGGAAAGGGGGAGCTGGGCCAAGGGGAGGGGGGGATTGGGAATGAGGGGTTGAGAACGGGGATTTGGGGCTGGGAGATGGGTCTGGGATCTGATCCCTGGATCTGGGGCAGGGAGAGGGGGAGATGGGTCTGGAGTCCTGGGAATGCTCCCTGGATCTGGGGCAGGGATGGAGGAGATGGGTTTGGGATCTGATCCCTGGATGTGGGGCAGGGAGAGGGGGAGATGGGTTTGGGATCTGATCCCTGGATGTGGGGCAGGGATGGAGGAGATGGGTCTGGGATCTGATCCCTGGATCTGGGGAAGGGATGGAGGAGATGGATCTGGAGTCCTGGGAATGCTCCCTGGATCTGGGGCAGGGATGGAGGGAGATGGGTTTGGGATCTGATCCCTGGATGTGGGCAGGGACATGGATCTTGGAGCAGGGATGGTGGGAATGGTCCCTGGATCTGGAGGAGGGATATGGGGAAAGGGGTGTGGGATCCTGGGAATGCTCCCTGGATCTGGGGCAGGGAGAGGGGGGAGATGGGTCTGGGATCTGATCCCTGGATTTGGGGCAGGGA